TGATTTGTCGGAAATGTTATTCTCAATCAGAATATCATCTTCCACTTTGGTCGATTTCCTCACCATTTCAAAGTTATTTGCAAAAACGTTAAGCAACCTCCAAATTTATAATGGTGAGAAAATACTGAACTAATGATTTTGTTGTTAAAACTTTGTACAATTAAATCTACAGTTCTACTGAACCGATTTTATTAACTAGGTCATTGAAAAGCCTAATTCGTGTAGATTTGCTAATAATTATTAAAGTTTGATTTTTTAAAGATTTACTAGGTGAAACCCGTCAAAGTCGACAGTTACTGTTGACGTTGAAAGCAAGACCGTTTGACTATAAATCGATAATAAATAACTTAATTTTTTTTATTTTATTTAAGTTGTTCGTGATTTAGCAGTGTGCTTTAGTCACGTCTGATCTTAATAATTCAAATGGAAGTTAGTATTTCACTGAAGGTTCTTAGGTCAAAACAAATAGAATAACGTAATTAGAATTGAGTAAATATACCTAAAACTAAATTACATATCCAAGATATAATCAAATTTATGTTTTCTGATTGAGCTTGAGCGATACAGTATATCTGGTAACTGATTAAAACTATCAATTTCTCAAGTGAAAGCCTTTAAAGTATTTTGAGACCAAGACATATAAAATAACTTAAATAAAATTTGAGTTACGTATCATTGATTGCAGATAAGTACTTAAACGATTATAATTATTGATGGTTCGTGATTCAGGTAGGATTTCTTTAGGTAGGATTATTAAGATCGGAATCTTAATAATCAATAGCTCAAATGAAAGCTGGTACGGTATTAAAGGTTTTCAGACCAAAACAAATAGGGTGTAATTAGAACTCCTGGAATACATCTTTAATTGAAGTAAAAAAATAAAAAAAAAATTTTTTTTTAAGTTATACATTAGATAAATTAATAATGATGCTTGATGACAAATATGTGCTTGCATAGCCTTATTTTAAGACCAAAATTATGAAAATCGGGCTGGTAGAAGAGCCAAACGAACTCGAAAAAAACCAAATTTAACTCCCATAAGAAATGTAAATGGACGCATTTTTTGCATAACTCGAAATATACGTCAAAATGAATGCCGATGATTGATGGCAAATCTGTGGTGCGTCCATGTCTTTAGTTTAAGGCCAAAATTATGAAAATCAGTCGGGTAGAAGACCTTTAACCTGACTCGGAAAAGAAAAACCAATAATTTTTATGGATGGCAATAAATTGGTTTACCAGTATGCATAATCTAAACATATGAGACATGTGTTAATAATTTAACAGCTTATTGTTATATTGTTATTTAATTGATTTTTCTTTTGATTAAATGTTGTTGTTAACAATTTTCATTTGTGTTTAAAGTGAGTTCCTTATGTTGTATGCGATTCTAATGTTATGTGCTTAATCTGTACCATTAATATTAGTGATATAAAGTGGTGTATAGATTTCACAACCATTATTTTACTAGAGACCGTTGTATTTAACCACAACGGCTAGGGCAAACCGCTTGTCTACTGCTAGTATTACAATAATTCAGTTCATTTTAGTCTTTTAAAGGTGTTTTACATTTGAGTCTTACATTAAAATATCCCTACATTCTTCGTAGGCCTATGTTTTATTAAGGCCGGTATTAAAATGCCGTCTCTAAATCGTCCTAATATTGGTAGAAGACCTACATTCCAGTTACATTACAATCATATCCTTCATCAAGAATACTTGGTATTAACAATCATAAATTATTTCCAGCAAATAAAGCTGAGTTTAACCGATTGCAAGGGTTGAAATGAAGACAATTTTTTATGTGTCACAGTTGAATTTAAATGTCAAATTTCCCCTCCTGTTTTTATACTTAAATACTCGCTTTTTTAATAGTTACTAATTGTTTATATACTTAAATACTTTAACCGATTGTAAGGGTGAAAAATGAAGTCCAATGTTTTTGTTGTAGGCTACAGTTGAATTTGAATGTTAAATTTCCTTTCTCTTTTTTATACTTTAATGCTCTTTTTGAATGTTAATATCAGATTCCAACTACTGTAATATTTTCCTGGTCAAAACTACCATAATCCACTTTTGGAAGAGGTATTTGAATAACAAGATGTAGTACATTTAGTTACTTTATACAAATATCAAATCACGTTTGTTCCGCTCAACTTGCTTTCACCTCTCTGAAAGCAATCCTAGTTTACTTGTTATCAAACTTGATGTTAAAATTTTTGTAACTTCATTATTTTTCAGCCATTCTGCCATTCTAAGTTCAATTCCTTTGATTTGAGCCATCTGCCATGACTAATCAATTTACATTTAAATACAACAATTTGAAAATTGCATAGTAAAATAATTGATTTCAATATTCTAGGACATAACGAAAAAGTCTGAATTATAGGTAAGTTATCCCTGGTTTTATAGTATACAGTAAGGTGGCCAAGATACAGTAAATTGCATAATTTACTGGCAAATAATGAATCAAAATGTTAATATTGCGTACTGGCTTTAATGATAAATCACGATCAGCTGTATTGACGTAAACAAAATCCACCTGTAAATGGCTAAAATGCTATTCTTATGGGGCACATTTTACATTATATTATATCTAACTAGCTGTTACCCACGGGCTTCACCCCGTTTGACTTCATAAGTTAAATAACAATATTGATTAGTTAAGTTGAGCTGAAATAAACAACACAGAATTCAGTACCGTTAAATATAAACAAATAATTACACCTGATTTTAATAAGGGAAAGAATCTATCTATATATTAATAGGCAAGCATGTTTCTTTAAAACCTTTTTTCTCAGCTCGTGTGTATCGTAGGGAAAATCTACGCATACCGTTAGAAAGCTATTTTCCTGTAGGTGTGCAGAATCCCTTTATAAATTAAAATAGGCTCAAAAATAAGCACAAAAAATGAATTTGAAATTTAAAAAATTTAAAAGGGGCTTATGGGTTGCTATGGTGATGACGAAATAACAACACAATATAAACAGAAAATCAAAACAAATGGAAGACATTCCAATCACATGTTTTATTTACAGTGTGGGGTGAAAATAGAGAAGTTTGTACAAAACATACTTTTGGTCGATTTTTCGACCACAGGGCGTGCTCTCGTAGGTAACAAATAAGTACAGCTGACGTATTTTTAACATTAGGTAAATGGAAAGTTCCCTAATAGGAAAGGAATTACGACCTTAAAGGGCAATTTATGAAAGTAATTGATAGTTTTGCGCTAGATTTCTCGTCATGACGAACATTTTAAGTATCATGGTTTATGGGGGTGTGACTTTTAGTTTTCTCGAAAGTTCATGCGTACTTTCGGATTTATATATGGATATTGTATTATAATTTTTTTAATTTAAATATTTTTTCACGGGATGGAGACTGTTAATTTGAGCCCTCTACCATCGTTTATATGCAAAGAATCACCTTACATAACTAAATATATAGAGCGTCTGGAAGTCCTTAGTTACTCACACAACCACCATTTTTTAATACAATTCAATTATTCATTTTTATAATTTTTTCCTTAAAAGTGGTGAACCAAGAAATTGAAATGTACAAACACTGCTTATGACAACTAGATAAAGCTACAACAAAATTATGACAATTTTTCAAATTAATAAAACAAAATGGCGGCCATTTACAATTTTGTTATTTCAATAACTCAAAACCCATTGATTTTACAAAAGGTTTACTACAAAGATTTACTACTTTCAAGACAATTTAATTACAAATCGATTGACAACTTATATTTTAAGGTTGGACGAATATTAACTGAGATGTGAAGGCTTTAGTGATACATAACCGCATCATCTCAACTAACCACCAGCGGCATTTTATATGATTTATTTCAAGCTATTTAGATGGGACCATTGACTATTGGATCGATAGTCAAAGGATGTGCCCAACGGATGTATAACTGGTATTTGTTTTCTCTGCAGCTGCAATATTTTAGTTGGAACTTATAGCAATACAGTCGTGACTGATGTTCTGTTGCTGAGATTCTCTTATGAAGATTGTTAAATCATGAGTCTCTCCTCTCTACACAGGGTTCACATCATCTTGTGATATTCACTAATCATGTCATATCAGTCTAGTTTTAGATCTAGTTTTAAAGCTAAACTTTTTAGATCCAATACAACCTAACCGAAAATAATCAATACAAATCAATTAATAATCAATGGGAATGGACACATCATATGAATGCTATAAAGAATTATGATTCAAACTGAAAAACTATAGCAATTAGTCCAGAGTTTACAAAGAGGAAGGGGCTTAATTTTACCCACTTGTAATCAGGAAAACACTATTTACATCCTACTAATATTATAAATGAGAAAGTTTGGATGTATGGATGTATGGATGGTTGGTTGGATGGATGGTTGGATGGATGGATGTTTGTGACAAGTAAACACAAAAAATACTAAACGAACAGGGTTGAAATTTGGTATGATGATAGCTCACATCCCCGATTAGCATATAGACATATTCTTATCTCAAAAATCCTTTTGGGCTCCACCCCAGTGGCTCTGGAGTTTCCCATGTTAACCTTATGAGTAGTCATATTTGAAATGAATTTTGAACCAACTAGCAACAAAAAGCTGGGGTGCACAATAAGAACTTTACTTTTTTCTATGGTTTAGGTGCAGATGTAGAACATTATGGCTATGATAGATGTGCTATACTATAGCATACCGTATAAATTAAAATAACCAATTTTCTTAAAACGTGTCCTCCCCCATAACTGCAATAAGCATTTAATACTTATATACTAACCCAGTACGAAGGACGGGTACTCTGCTATAGTAATAAATAAATACAATAGATAAAAAAATAGGATGTTCTCTAAACAAAAGTTGTTTTTTTTAATTCACGGTAATTGCTAGATTGATTTTCCGGATGGTCCTAGTTTTAACATATTTCATAGGCTACACAATATAAATATTCCACCCTAAATACCCACAGTTTACCAATACTACTTAGCACTACCTTTTTTTCAGGTGGCAAAAAGGTAAGATGCTGTTGCTAGCATCTCTGTCATGTTGGATCATCTTCACTCTTCCACTTGGGTTCATCCAACCACCTCCAACATCCTGTCTGGTCAAGAAGAATCATACTGAGTACGTCCTGGAAACACCAAAAATACCACGAATACTCAAGCGAGAGGTAAGATAAGTAGGATATATAGTTAAAAATTCACAGAGTAGTTGAACATATACTAAACTGGTAACTATGAATGAGTTGAATAATAGTTTAAAGAAGTTTTAGAATTAAGTCAGAATAGCATAGAAAATATTTTGTTGGTTTGTTGACAGAAGAAAACTGAGATAAAATAAAAAACATCATGTGTATGGTGTCCATTATAAAGTAAATAGCTAAACTACAGGATATGGTTCTGGATCAAAATAAAGAGAAAATCATGAATTTCATTTTTCTAAAACAATTTGTTACCCAATATCCGCTATTTTGCATTTTTAGCAAGTTCCCCTATAGGAAAGTAGCTATTACCGTAGGTCTCATGGTATGACCTGGGCCCGGGTCCGATGTACTTTCATTTCGATGTCCCCAGTGGCCAAAAACACTATTCGTTCAAATTTGAGTGAATTTCCCTAAATGGAAGTAGCTATTACCGTAGGTGGCATGGTAAGAACTAGGCCCGGGACTGATTTACTACTTTTTCATTTTGATGTCCCCAGAAGCCAAAAACTCCATTCGTTCAAATTGTTTTATATATTTAAATAAATCCTATACTCTAATACGAGCAATGTTTGCTTGTATGTATGTATGTTTGCACAGAGATCTCGAAAACGGCTCCGCCGATTTTCTTCAACGTTTTAAGTAGTTTATTTCTGGCCTAAAACCAGTTTACTGCAGTTAGAACTGCCAACAAAAATCTTACGTAGAAAAATGAAACTGAAAGTCACATTTTTTTAAACATTAGTCTTATGGCTAAGTAACCATGTTGGTTGAATTTAATAACAAGGGAAAAGTAAACAAAAGACTTGTTAGTTGTAACATGTGTTCATAAAAAGCGATCTACCCACAGTATACTAGCAAATTACAAACAGTTCAAAAGGAAAAAAACATCAGTTGTTAGTATTGAGCAAAGATTATACTGAAGATTACTCGATACATTGAAGTTAAGGTTAGCATTGCGGAGTGTGAAAAGCGTCTGCGGCAGTTGGATTATGTATCTAAAATACTAAAATACTATGGGAAGGGAGAGGAACAGGTCCGCAACATAGGAAGTGGTGAAGGAAGTAGTAAAGGCGAGCAGTCCGGAGTGTGGGATCTCTTTATGACGATTTTAGATTAAGGTATTATCAAGGCAGGCAGTGCAGAGTGTGGGAACCGTTTGTAGCTGTTAGATTATAGTATATACAATACTTAAATGCTGGGAAGGGAAGAAAACAGGTCCGTGACGTAGGAAGTAGTGATGAAAGTAGTAAAGGCGAGCAGATCAGAGTGTGGAAAATATTTATAACGATTACATTAAGGTATCTGCAATCCAAAAATGCTATGGGAAGGGAGGGAAACAGGCCCACGACGTAAAGTGGTGAAGGAAGTAGACAAGGCGAGCTGTCCGTAGTGTGGGAGCTGTTTATGATGATTTGATTAATGTATCTGCGATCCTAAAATGTTATGGGAAGGGAGGGAAACAGGTCCACGACGTAGGGAGTTGTGAAGGAAGTAGTCAAGGCTAGCATTGTGAATTGTGGGAATTGATTAATTCCCGATTTGAATTGATTTTTTTTTTTAATATTGATTAATTTAAAAATTTCAGCTATAGGTAGATTGTAATTTAGCATTTAATATTTCCTATCATCAACATGAGCCGTATCTACTTTAAAATAAAATACCGTACCAGGTTTTATGAAGATCGGTATGAAAAAAATTGAAAGATAAAAATGTTGATGTAAAAAAACAAATATAGCAGATATATTAGTTAAGCTCAGCGTTTAGAAAAATTATTCTTGATTTTATCTTTTTTTGGCTATAGAGCCATTTTCCAGACTTAAGCAACATCTGAAATGTCCATGAACACATGAACATGAACTTGAACATGTGAAATGTGTGTGTTGAACATGAGATATGTCCCAAGGCAGGAGAGTACGAGCCGCATCACCACGCACCTCACTGGATAGAGCCTGAGATCCCTATACAGAGTGTAGAGGAGGAGGAGCCTCTAGTGCGCAACATACGTTCAGCCAAGCCTCACGTGTACGCTGGCATGTCACCTCTCGACATCCGGTTTGTCAAGAACTACAATGAGAAGGAACAGGGCAACTGGGTGTCCCCAATTTTTAGCTCCATCGTTTATCGTACACAGGTACTAAAAGCCTATTTAATATTTATATTGTTTGAAGACTTATTATTTTTTTAAGTTTAAAACTTTTCAAGCATGATAATTCTATTTATTTACAGTATCATTACATACCAAAATACAGTAGTGACTTACGGGAACTGGACACATTTTTTTTACAGCTGTTACATTGTTGCTACAAGTGTTAGGAAGGTTATTTCACGGAATAAGGTCACCGGACTTATCCAGCTCTGTGACTTCTTCTTATGTGGATTTTTGAAGGGACGTGATTTCGCTCGCAAACTCCTTACATTTGTTGACTTAAAACTTACAATCACAGATGAGGTGCACACAATCGAGCAAGATCTGCTAACAAGAGTTTCAAATCAATTCCAAAAAAGACTGGACACCTGAATTCAAGTGAACGGCCAGCATCTGTGCATGACATAATCTTCAAAATGTGAAAACTGCAACAACATGTCACCAACAATAACTTACAATAATGAAAATTTTTTATCAAATGATATGTTAATAACTTTTTTAGGATAACAATAAAGCAATTATAAAAAAAAAATATATTATATATGTTTAGACCTATGTGTCTATGAACATAACTGGAGCAATTTTGGTCTGATTTTTTATAAAATTTAAGCTTGTGTTTACAAACCAGAAAGATCGGGTCATGAAAACAGGGTGTAATGAGGTTTAGAACTTTTTTAAATTGGGTTTTTCCAAATTTACAGTACCTTCAAAACATGGAAATGCCCTATTCTAATTGCAGCCATAGTGTAGAGCTTATACAAGAAAAATTGTGTATATTTATTGAATTTAAAATTCCTATGCTATTCTTATGGTGAATAAGAAAACTGTTGTAATAAGTTGCTTGTTCATGGATACATTTTGTATATTTCATCCTATTAACATTTCATCAAAACAACACTCTCCCTTATCCATAGCAGCCAACTAAGTAATCGTTATCTAATGTTATTTAAAAATATGGAGTAAATAAATATGACTTGTTTAATGAAAATGTTAGTGAAATAAAATGTTATCAGACATTGAAATTCGCTTTGTCTGAAGGTTTGCTACAGCAGGTATAATTGATAATTGTTTTTGATATGGGCCATCTATTAAAAAAATTGTTGTGTCCCATTAAATGAAATATTTACCACCACATAATAGGTAATACTAATTTTTTTCTTTATTTTAGCTACTGGTATTTTGTTACATAACAAAAAATAGAGAGCTAAGATTCCATAGTTGATAATTTTATTATTTCTCAAGGATATACAAAAAGCCTTCTTCCTCCTTCTGCTACTCGTGGTGATTGGAGAGTTCTTCAGTGCTCCTGCCATCACTCTTGCTGACTCGGCAGTTATCACTCTGTTGGGGGAAGATGCTGATCGCTATGGACATCAGCGTATGTTCGGCTCCCTGGGCTGGGGTCTCGCCATGTTTTTTGTAGGTGAGCATTTAAGGAAAATCTGTATTCCGAAGTTTACTACAAGTAGTTTGAAGAGGTAAAACTACTGGTATTTTACAGAAAAACTGCACTGATTAAAGTATCTTTTTTCTAAAGATTCACAACAACTTTAGGAACCGCATGAAATGTTACGTTCTTACAAATAACTCACACAACAATACATTTTACTAGATCTACTATTGAGAGGACAGAACCATTATTATTATTGCAAATCGACCATACTGGGTCACTGAATAGTAAGATGACCATTATGTTTTACTCTAAAAATACAATGTAAAGGAAGTGTTGCATTTTAAACACTGCCTAGGTATTGCTCTGGACCACTCAACAGCCTTTCCCGACCATCCTTGCGGACCCGACGAGAGGGAGAAGAACTACACTATATGTTTTGCGACGTTCTCTGTCCTCATGGGAGCGGCTCTCATCTGTGCTACTCAGATCAACTTCAAGTACGACTTTCCGTCAGAAGCTCCTGAGATAGAGAAGCCTCCCCCTGAGCCTACCAGGGAGGACTACCTGCAGCAGGAGTTGGCTCAACAACTTAACCTTCCGGCCTTGGCCACTAACAGTATCAACCAACCTCCGCCTGCCACCACCAAGGTAACCACCAGAGTCTTAGCCAAGTCAGCAGCAGTTCTCCCTCTTTGACCATGGGTAGAACTAGACATGCGATTTACCATGTTAAAATTATAGCCAGTTTTAGAATAAAAACAATGATGCACTTTAATTGAACCACTAACAGACTGTGTTGTGCTGTACATTACTGGAGACTGCCAGGACATAAGCTTACTGTCAATTAAATCATCTATATCACACAAATTATCAATGTTGAAAACTAATAGATGAAACAGCAGAGACACACTCTGTGAGCACCTCATTGATCTATACTCTGTTTGAGTGGAACATCCGCTACAGCGTCCATGTATGGATAGTGTGCACTTCAGTAGCTAAAGTTGATGACCAAACTCTGAATTATTTTTTTAAGTTGTTGTGTTAGCAAACTATAGCTACCTCTTCGTTTGTAACATAACAGTCATATAAACTGTTAATTATCACTGTCCTGACCAGCATAGTAGCTGATCTCAATTAGTAACAAGATGTGTACCCGTATGAGGAGTAGAACCTATAGTACGTCTTGAGATGGGCATGCAAGACGGAATGTTTTACCGTAGTTTTTACTTTTGTTTTAACTATTGTAATGAGGAAAGGTTTAAATTTATGAATGATTGCTATTATCAAATTAAGAGAATAAATGCATTATTCACACCCAAGTCCTTATATTTTATGACATTATAAGTAGGCTATTTTAATTCATGTTTCATAGTTTCACTAGCCAAATTATTTAGGGAAAACATTTATCCTGGCCATGTGTATAAATACTTTAATATATTTTGAAAGATTAAGCTCTAAATATGATACTTTAATCAGAGTAACACAATTAAAACATCACATGGCTATAGTATCTTGGAAGTTTTGTCTATGTTTCAGACCCAAATGTTCGCACAGACAACCCGAGAGATCCCAGAGTGGGTTACGGTTCTCAAATACTTTGCAAATGTCAAGTGTGGATCCTTCCTGTTTGTCTCCTGGTTCATGGGATTCGGGATAGGACTTATTTTCACATTTCTCTTTTGGCATTTACAGGCAAGTACACAGTTTTCATACACATCCAATTCAAACCAGGTAAATATTAAAAAAATGTATTAATGTAAAAAAATTTTATATTGTACATTGTCAAATAAAGCGTTGATTGAAGAAACAAAATTTTAAAGACAAAATAAGTATAGAACTATTATACATTGAAAATAATTCTCTACCTTATAACATTCAAAACTAAAATCCAACATATTCAAAACTGTACTAAAATTTTCTATACAGTGTGCACACATCTATATCTATACTAGCAGTTACCCGGCGCGCGTTGCTGCGCTAACAAAATACTGTCTGTGTGAAAAACACGTTTTTTCTACATTTAAACTGACGATAGTCAGGGATTGCCCTAGTGCCTTATAATGGTGATTGTGAAAGCAAGACACTAAGAAAATTGAAGTTTCTAAAATTCAGAGGGTAATTCGAATGATGTCATCAGTATTCTTGGGATTAAGACTATTTCTCCCTTAAACCTACCACTGATAATTTTTGCTTTAATCAATTTTGACGTCATTTTTTTAAATCGTTAGTCTGGTAACGTTGCACAGCTTCGAAGGATTTCAGTTTCGCATTAGTATTATTGGAGTTCCTTCTTTTAATGACAGTAATGTGGTGGGTTAATTAAAAATTGAGAGGCATTTGAATATCCGAGATAGCACGCACGATTATTATTCACTTAATAATTTATGTTAAATTGTGTGGGTATAGAACGAAAGATAAAAATACTAAGGCATTGTCATCCCTTTTATTGTTTATAATACACTTTGATAAAGGTTTTTATGTTTTTAATATTTAACATTGGAGATTTTAAACGTTGTTAAGTACACAACTGTGCTGCGATTGGGGTTTAATACATTTGGACTTATTCAAAAGTAAAATAGTTTCCTGTGCTGCACTCTAGAAACACTGTGGCACAATTTCAAATCATGACTAATGCTAATACAGAATGTTGTGATTATTCAAACCTACAAAACAGTTGGTGAAAGTAAACATCTGCTTTTAAATTATATTTATTTGTAAACATTGTAGATCAAAAAGTCTGACATTGGCCCACTTAAAACCCTCTGGGGCAGAGCCCTTTTGACGGATCTGCACCAAACTTCACACGAACAGATGCTAATGCCTGAAAGTTTCATTACAATCTGTCGAGCGGTTTCGGAGTCCATAAAGTATACCTATACACACACACATACATACATAGTTCCTCTTTTATAGATATAGATATAGGCTTTATAATACAAGAAACCGTTTTTTGTTAACACTATAGTGTCCACCTTATTAGTGGACCAATTTCAACGCTTGAGATGTCAAAAGATATGTCTCAATTTGTAGTTTTGCAATAAGGTTTTAGAATTAAAAAAGTTCTAACCCTTGACTTTATCCCATAAGAATTACACAGAAAAAAAACACCTGTTGATAAAAAGAAAAGATTGATGTTTGAAATATTCAGGAGGGTTATACACTAATGCAAACAGAACAGAAGTTTGAGGAGAGTAGAATATGGGAGTCCTGGTCTAACAGTAAGGAATTCAGATACACACTCACTTGGTGACATAAATAATTTTTACCAGTTCTGCTATGATACGTAATTTGGTGAAATGAAAAAATACAAGAAGAATATAGGCTACACATGGTGTAAAGTAACCTTGGCTAATGTCGGATCAAATGAATACACATGCAAGAAATGTTTACAGGTAACACTGACAGATCGAGACATTTCAAAACCTTTAGTATAAACAATAATAATTCCTTGGCCTAGGTAAGCTCAAGTAGTAAGATTAAACCAAACCTTGGCGGACCTTATGTTTTTATTGTTAACGTTTTTGTTACCCTCTCTACTTCAATTGAGAATAACGCAAATGGATTATTTACTTCTTGCTATCACATAGGCAAGGTTACGTTGCCAGTTCCTCAAGGGAACTTATACTAAGTTTATTGACTGGAAACCACCAAAAATCAAGACATTTCAGGTCAAAAACAAGAAGTTTCAACAACTCATTTGTTATGGTAAGTGTTAGTTGCAATATTCCAATTTCTATGCGGCGACTGATACGACTGTAGTTGTGCGGCTGCGGACCAAACATAAGAGAAAGGCTTTATGTGTATGCATTCAACGGTCACGATCATTACAGAATTGGAATAACACCCACAGAATTACAGTCGCAACGGTAAAATTTATTTTTCTGATTCAGGAGAGGCAAATAATAGAAGAGAAAATATCCAATAAGAGAAAATTAAAATTGTTATCCAAATCTTATACAAAAGTTATCTAACCTATTTCGACAAATAAATCCATACTTTCAAGCTTTCAAAACGTTAGCACAAGTATTAAGAGAAACTCTACTGAACAACGTGATAATGCTGGGCATATCTTGTGACTGACAGACAACAAATATTAAAAGACACATTAAAGATAATACTTTAATACTTTTAGATGAAAGTATTAAAGTATTATCTTTAATGTGTCTTTTAATGACCAACTTCCAAAGGTGTTGCTGCTTTGTTCGAAGCAGATGATGGCTGATCAGTTGGTAACCCAGAGTTTGTTGTAAACCTAAAAAATAGTACACATTAAATGGTTGATACCTTGATACCACCCCACTTTTCAAGGGAATCCTGGAGAAAATCTTTTAATGGAGAAAATCCTTTGGTTTAGACGGATGCCTCAAACCAAAGAAATAAGATTATCCAACTTGTATTTACTCCACACAGATTATCAGTGAGGTAACAATGTCTACAGTTCTCCATGCGGGAAAAACTTTGTTGGAACATATTTTAGACATGTTCACTGGAATTGAAGGAGAGCATTTAGCATTCATTAGAAGTAATCACGTACAACAAACTGAGAGCAGATATGTATGTGAACGCTCATGATGCAATTAGAGATATTGAAAATCTATTTTTAACAAGTTTTATAATAATTAACTCTAAGAGTAATACAGTTGATACAGGGTTCCCTAGTATTTAACTAATAAATGTTCCATTGTTCTTGCAGGATTATGGAGGATCTCCAACTCTGTTCGGTGTAGCGTCTGTCATTAACCATATTTCTGAGATATTTGCTTATTTCTTCAGCTTTCGGTTGATAACTCAGATGGGACATGTCAAGGTATTAAATGAGAATTATTGCATGTAGCAACGATGCATGATCTTGTTATTTAACATTGTGTTTGGAAAACAGTTATTTAAAAAACTTATTCAATCCCACTCTTCTAAGGAGGTTTTTAGTTCATCATGAAATTACTTGATCTCTATTCAAACTACCCCATTTTGTTCTGTTTGAATAAAATTTTGACCAATTTTAGCCACAACTCAATAATTTTAAGGCATTTGGAAAAAATCAAGGTTTGTCACCCTATTTTCCTTGTGATGCTTATGCAACATTATATTAATTAAACTGTTAATTTCTAAATTTTTTTGAGATAAAGTATTCACATTTTTTTAAATTGTTAAAAAAGTCTACCTACGCTATAATTTGTATAAGGGTTAATTTGAGCTGGAATTTAAGAATAAATAAAAGAGTAAATAAAAGTAAGTGATAAAAGCAATTTACATGATTCCACAATTAAATAAGCCCATTAATAAAATATACATCTAACAACAATTACCATACTCATACTCTCTTATTTATGTATGGCCGCCCCTTAATTATATAGACTAAAGGTCGTCCAGTGGTCGAAAATATGTGATTGGAATTTCTTTCATTTGTTTTGATTTTCTGTTTATATTTTGTTGTTATTTCGTCACCAGCATGGTAAACCATATGGCCCATGTTAATAAAAAAAATTAAACAAATTTTTTGTGCCTATTTTTGAGCCTATTTTAAATTTATAAAGGGATTCTGCACATCTACAGGAAAATATATTTCTAAAAATATGCGTAAATTTTCCCTGCGATGTACACCAGCTGAGAAAAAAAGGTTTTAAGGAAACATGCTTGCCTATTAATATATAGAAGATAGATAAAATAATAATAATAATATATATATATATATATATAATAATATAGGTTAAATACCTCATTTACATCTTAAATCCAAGTCGTCTTTTTAGATGACTATAGTTTCGGGGCAAACAGCCCCATTGTAAAATCTTCGGTCTTGTTAAATTACTGTTGATAGCATTAGTCATTGTTGAAGTTCACTTGTATACATACACTCACACACAAAACATTTATATTTACACGTAACATTTAAAATTAATATTTTTGGCCGGCCTAAACAAAAGTGACTAGCGTTGTGGTTGTGCGGACTGGTACACTGACTGACTCCGTGTAAATATAAATGTTTTGTGTGTGAGTGTATGTATACATGTGAACTTCAACAATGACCAATGCTATCAACAGTAATTTAACAAGACCGAAGATTTTACAATGGGGCTGTTTGCCCCGAAACTATAGTCATCTTAAAAGACGACTTGGATTGAAGACGTAAATAAGGTATTTAACCTATATTATTATTAGTATAGATAGATCATGTAGTGTATAGATCATCTGAGGGAGATTGAAGGTAGAGGACTTATTTTATTCTTGTTCTACCATAATCAAAAAAGGAGAGCATAAATGGGATAATATTAAAATTGCAAAGTTAATTTTTCAATAATTGAGAGCTCTATGTTCTAACATAAACCCTGCTGTGCTACAGTGAGTCTTTCTTGTTACAGGTGCTTTGCCTTGGCTTGGTAGGAAATGTGGTACGATTCCTGTATATATCATATCTGAAAAATCCATGGTGGGTCTTACCCTTTGAATTCATGCAAGGTAATTGACTTATACTAATAGGTTTTAATACTGTAAGGTTGATGAAATAAGACATTCATTTAAGTTGCAATTCTTTTTAAACTCTGTGTTTGAGTCAAACTCTGTCAGGTGTTTAAGACCCAAGGCTACAATATCAAGAGCGATCCACGTTCTAGTGCTACAACAGTGGCTTGCTGTAGGTTGGAATTTATAAATAACTTATTTAACTTATTTGGAACTATAAATAAACTGATCAAATGTGTACATACACATGTAAAAATGTATACTTCTTTCCAACATCATTGTGATTTTGCAAATTTTGTAGTAATTAATTAGAAGGAACTTCTGTTATTTGTCCATTCAGGTTAACCATCACAGTCCCATTCGCGTAATAGCGTTCGGTCCAATAAATAGTATAATCACTTTTTTATTCTTGACCATAACCTGTTGCCTAGTTGTAAACAAGGGTTTCAGATACATGCCCTTATTTCTTGATATTCACTGACAGTAGCAGATTTATCTGCTCCATTTTCTTTGGAGTAACAAATCATTTATGCACTTGGAAATCATTTGTTATGTATATTATGAGTACTAATGCAAATAAATACCAAAAATGACAAATATTTTCATAAAAAAGTTTTTTTTGTCTTATGTAAGGGTTAATACATAATGACCTAACTGTGCAGGTATCACACATGCTGCAGTATGGGCAGCCTGCTGCTCATACATCGCTCACAACACTCCGCAGCATCTACGCAGCTCTGCACAGGGTGTGCTGCAGGGCATCCACCACGGTCTGGGACGGGGCTGCGGGGCCGTCATTGGTGGACTCTTTGTCACTTACTTCGGTTGGTACAAGCATTATATTGCTTTCAGCTACAATCTGTGAATAAAATACTGTTCTGTTTTAAAAACTGGGGTAATTAACTCCTGATAATGTACGGCTTATCAATTTCCATTAGATTTTAGACTGAAAATGGTTAAAGCCTGTGGTTAAGATGAGAATATCCCTCTTTTTGTTTGAGGATAAGCCTTTGATGATCTTGTCATCCAGGTATGAGATGAGGATTGAAATATTTGAAAATATTTGGGAATATTTGAGTGAATATTTGGAGATGAGTCAATGGACTAATAAAGACATTATCCAATATTCGCACATAAGGCAATACATTTAAAAAAGTACAACCTAACAATAATGAAAGATATAGTATTTACTTTTTTATCCATCCATCAAACACATTTTTTACTTGAGAGGTGGACCTACAGCATAGTTTGGGTTCGGAACGTCCTAACGACAGAGTTATCACACATGGAAAATTGTCATTGGCAATAACAGGATGCCTGACCCTTCACCACTAGATTTGCTGATCTCTCGTGTTATTAGGTTGTAGCTGTTCCGTATAGATGGGATGTCTTCTTCAGTATCCAATGGTCAATGGTTGTAAAAAAATATTGTGAGGCACAATATTTTTAAGCAGCAGTTCTTTTTTTACCCTAGGAAGAATAGGATTTATTTGAACTGGGCAACGCATGTGTTTAAAACAGCTATTTTACTGCAGTATGATGAAAAAATTAATAATAGTTTAAAACTAAGGATATTCAGGTCCCAATTATTTGGGTAATAACTATCATGGATAATGTTTTTGGGATAAAAAATTGACAATTTCGGCAACAGGCCAAACTAGTCTTATTTGTTTTTGGATGAATCATGACGCCATATTGTAAATTATGTTCCTATGGTCGTCTTGATCACTGTAGATTATCACGATGCTGTCGCAAGTGTTTTCTAATAGCTACATATAAAAACACAGAGAGAAAATAATCCAATAATGGATGTATAATAATACAAAATAGTAATAGTGCATTTAAGTAATATTATTTGACCTGTAGGTTACAAAAAATAAATAAATAAATAAATAAAAAATGAAGGTGGATTGCCAGACCAAATGTTTGGGGACTGGTGGTTTAAAAGATATTCTGGTTATTTGAAATTATTTTATAAATTTTTCAGGAACTACTGCCACTTTCAGAGGTTATGGCTTATGCTGTGCCATTGTCTTGGCAGCATTTATCTTTATCAACTTTTACCGAATTGACACAGGCTTTGTATCTGAACTTCCTCAAACTGAAGATCCACATCAGGTACAGTAATTAGGTCTTGATGTTGATACTCAGCATTACTTTTAGACTATGAAAAATCAAATTTTAATATCAGCAGACATTGAAATCACATTATAACATTATAACAACATTATAAACGGCACTAAATAGCTTACATAGTTGCAACTATTGCAGGGTTAGATCTAAATCTAGACACTTATGATAATGTGAATGGCCATTTAGTTGAAAAGGAAATACAGTACCCTGAAAATACTTCTTTTGAAGCTCATCCAATTTTTATTTTTACTGTCAATTTTCTTTCAAAAAACAATTAACTGTTGCATCACATGATTTTAACATATTTTGTTGCCCTTAGTATCATTACCAAAGTTGGAACTACCCCCGCTGCAACCAAATAAAAAAATACCTCTAAATAAATGCTGATGAAATCTATTTATTGTGTAATCATCATATTATTGTGAGGATATTAGCGATTTCCCATATGGGGAACAAGATATTAACGAGGTTCTCATGGTAACACCTAGACCTGGGACCGATTTACTATTTCGTTTCGATTTAGTTTTTTCGTTTTGAGGTCTGTAGTAGCCAAAAAACACCATCAGTTCAAATTAATACATTATAAAATGTGTTAGCACAATAACTTGAGTTTCGAATTAAATATATAGATATAGATAGATAGAAAAATAAACTGTTGTGGTTTGCTTGTTTAAAGGGATATTATTTTGATCTAGTTTTGCAGTTTTGTTCATTTCATAATAAGCGATCAAGATTTAAATAAAAAAACACAACTTATTACCCGTGTTAGAATAAGGTGTAAATTCTTGCTATCTTCAGCTCCTTGTTGAATCAGTGCTCACTAGGGATGTCATTATTGTAGGTAGCAGAAGAGACGGCTCACCTGGCTCCTCACGGAGTCCCCAGCAACCCGATACCTCGAGCATTGTCAAGCACTCGACTGCACGACATGGCCAATGACCCTGGCTATGGCGCGACCTACAACACCTCTGGCGGCAACCTAGACATTCCTGGCGCTCATCCTGGCAACATGGGCGGAGGTAACACATAGAGAAAAGCAAGCCGTAAAATGCTGTTGGCAAGCTGTAAAATGGTTTAAAATGTTAGTAACAATAATGATGTTAATTATTGCAATATACTACCTAATGACAGCTTGCCTGAGGAATGTCCAAACCGTTAGCAGACAGCAGCCCCCATCACCATCACTGAATGTGGTCTGCCAAGCGCCAACCCCCACCCAAAGAAATTACTAAAAACACTCAAACACTGGAGCATTTAATTACACAACATACATTTGACACAGCTACATAATCTTAATAGAATTATTTTGTTATCTGCTTAATATCCTTATTCGTCAGGTTGAACTAAAGAATTCCTGGCAACTGCCACATCATCATACAGGTTCATCATCTTCTACGATTCCTCATACATTAAAAATTGAAAACACAAAACACATTGACATGCATGACACATTTAACAAAAAATTTACATTTATTAGAACAACGGTTGCGGTGTGTGCATGCATTTGGTCAGGTCGGCGGCCACTCCCAGGCAGTTGCCATGAAACATGTAGTTCTACTAGTTGTTATTTGTTGGATAAGGATATTATAAGGTAACTAACAAAATAATTCTATTAATTAATATCCAGAAGAAGTAGGGCAATGAATTCTGATGTACATAATCTTGACCAATCAGAAATTGTATTATTGTTTAAACTTGTATGTTAAAATCTCAAGCTACAAAAAAAATGCACCTGGCTTGTTACAGCTGTATTGCCTCAATTTAAAATTATTAGGTGGGTTAGTTTTTGTAAATAATATTGTTCAACAATACATCAAAGCAACTAACATAGAAAATTAAACTTGGTTGTTAAATTAATATGACATACTACAAATTTTAACTGTATGATTTGTAGTAAATTATGATTTATAGTTAATCATACCAAGTGTTTTCTTTTCCAAAGTTAACCATGCATGTAACTAGACCAACAAACTCCACTGTTTTCAGGTGGCGGGACTAATCCATTCAGACAATACAGTGATTTTAATGACTATCAACCGAGCAACAGGGACATTAGTGATGAAGAATCTATCAAGAGACATTTCCAGGTAAGCTTTCATGTCAGTTGCAGTGGTACTGTTGACGAATATTTATACAGTAGAAGTTGAATCTCGATGATCCAGAACCTTCAATAATCCAGCTCTGTCCTATTAGCCTAAAAGATAAGATATGTAATGTATTTAATTTCATATTAAAGTATAGTACAGTACAGTACAAAAAAAATTGTAATATGATTACTATATAAATAGGTACAGCAATTAATCATATGTAACTCTGAAATTGTAGCGATTGCTGGTATGTGGGGGATGTGTGTGATTGTGTAATGTGGAAATGTGAGACTAATTTAAGCGTGCTGAATCTGCTACCAAATGATTTACATGACAGTTGGTTGGGGACCAGAGGACGGAGATCTTTTACCCAGACCGGAAGCTTACATAGCCAGCTTTGATTTATCCTAATACGACTAATTTACTTAAACTATCCATCCAAAACTTGTGAGCTAGAAAATGACTATGAGTGAGATAATTTGGTTGTGATACTACAGTACTTTGTGACAGGTTGCCGAATGAAACAACGAAAATGCGCTACAAATAGATAATTTATTAAACTTATGGAAAAAACAACAGTACAGTATTTAGCTTTCGACTTGCTGTATGAAATATATTTATGTTAGGTTTACAAATACAACACAAATAAGTTATTGGGGAACATAGCCTCCCGAGGAGGCTATGGGGAAAGGCGACACAACTTTAACTTTACATGACCGACCGAGCCGAATTTAGAATTTAGACTAACTCAACTGAGTGCGCTCTGCCCATAGCCCAGAGATTGGCGTGGAGGAGAACCAGCCAATCACGTTGCGGCTATGCCGCGTGACGTCAGTGCAAGCACCGGACAGTGTTGCTGCCTAATGATTCATCAGGGCATTAGGCAAACTATAGCTGCGCATTAACTGATTTCATCGAGCGACTTGCTGAGCTGTATCAGCAAATTCCAGCCATGCGCGTTACACTTTCCGAGAACGTTGGCCCGACCTAGCGCTGACGGAATATTCCATGGTGAAGCAACTGGCTGACACAAAAAGCCAGGAGGTTAACAGTCCAATATTACAAACCCTCTTTTTATATTTGAAATAAAGCAAAGCTTTTGTGACGGTACTGACAGGGTTTCCTGAGGGTGTAACAAAAACCTCCCCAACTGATATGTAATGGGTCTGGGAATTTTTGGGGCCGTCACAACTTAGATCAGAAATAATTATGACTTTATTGAGATAAACTGTGGAAGCCTACTGGGGAAAACATGTTATGTACCTTTTTTATGTTGGAATTGGTCAAGGCTTAAGGTCTCAGCCTGCAATTAATTAATTCCTACATAAACAATGTCGGGTGACCCTTGCAGGTCTTCCCCCTTGGTTCGCTAACTAACCTGACATTTGAGTTTAATATCTACACATATAATTAACCTAAACACTTATCCATTTTATGAAGAATTGCAGATGATCAAATTTTCAGTGGTAGTCAGAAAAGAAAGAAATAGCAAGAGAATTGGAAAAGTAGGTGGGGGATAGCATTGGCTCGCTCGCGGTGGACTGACGAGTTCGACATGCAGCCCTGCCACGCGAAGCGCTGACACACGGCCACCTTTAATTCCGGTAGAATTGGCAACGTTGCAAGTAGTGTTGACTAGCTCCAGAAGTCCCATAAGATAAATAACATGGCAGGCAGGTGACACCAGCTCATTAATTCGCGTATTATTCATTTAAACTTAAATTTATGAACATAAATTGATTAAAAAAAGTTGAAAATAAAACATATAGAGTTTTGAAAACCAAAACAGTATTTAAATTGAAAATCTATTTTTGTACTTTGAAAGTGGAGTCAATACTGTACTTTCATTGCCCAGTAACCAAGCTTTCGTACTCTTAAAAAATACACAAATACCATTAGCTGCCTCCAAACAAAACAGCTGTTACAACCCTACTTGTGATGTTGCCACTTTGAAGGCCGCGGCCTGGAGTTAAAGGTGGCTGTGGCTGTAACTATAAGAAATATAGTGTGCTGCTATACATCACGAAATGTAGGACTACTGTACTGGCAAACCATGGGACAAACACATAACTCATATATACATAAATAAACACACTTAACACCAAGGTCATCGCTTCTAGACAACAATTATTGTTATTATTGGCTGCTTACTTTTTTAGGATCTTTGGCTTTCTCAAATCCAGTAATTGTAACTCTAATTCATTAAATTAAGTGGTCTCTCGGTGGTCCGGCCTACAGGCTGTGTGCTTACCAAAGTTTGGCTCTGCTCTGTAATCCATTGACTATAAACACTACTCATGCGACAATCCTGTTATGTGGCACACAATAGAAGCTTTTACCAATATACTAAATGTATATAACACATGTGGTTTTGTCTGTTACAGATGTACAGTGAAGTGCTGACTCAGTATGAAGGAAAATCTCCTCCAATCACATCGCTTCACACTCAGCAACCAACCCACTCTCACCGAAACTACGATTGGTGAACTTGTTGTGTACAGATTTGACTGTATATATTGTTGTTTTCTAAGTGTATGTAATGTGCTTTAGTTTACTCTCCACTGTAAGTAAATTGTATATCCTGAGTTAAACTTGTGACTTAAAAAGATTAGCGACTACCGAGCATTATATTTGTCTTGTGCAAACTGTAAACTGCTTAGAAGTATTTATATGTACAGGATAAATACCTACTACAATGCTTTTAACACTTAACAATTTTGTTCTTTAAATATTGAACAAAATATTATTTGTAATAAAAAGAGTATCTAATAAAAAAAGATACTTTACGCCACACTACATTATTTTGACGAACTTCCCACGCAAGGATTTAGTCCAGAAAACAGCTGTTTGCCGCCAGCTTATTCAAATGGGGTTTCATTGCGTAATACTGTTCTGCAATGAGTTTTACCGGACACCAATCAGCTGATTATACTGTATTTGCGTGGCAATGATTGGTTATAAACAAAAACATAACCTCTCTTAGAGGTTTACTCATTTAGTTTAGTCATTTAGTTGGTGGAAATATATAAGGATTTGTACAAATTAAGTAGTATGGCGTAAACTATCGTACGTAACTCGTCCAAAATGTGTGTACCGGACTTGTATGGTAATCCCGTACTCGACTTCGTCTCGCACGGGAACGACCACACTCGTCCGGTAAACATTTATTTTCAGAACTAGTAACGTAATATACTATTTCCATACATAACATGAAAGTTTTACAGTAGATTTTCTTTCATTGTAAGATAATTGACAAGCATCTTTCTTCCGGATGGTTAAAATTTATTGAACCACTTAGTTATGATTAGTTAGATCATATAGTGAAGTTGATTGCAGAATTAAACTACACGGCAATAAACAAGGAAATAGTTTGTAATCAAATCCAAGCACAGGAGGAAAAACTCACTCCCTTAGTCTACTTTTCGCCTTGACTTGTTTCACACACACACCACTACTTCACTAGGCCTACCACCTACCCCCAGCATTTAACTGGTTTTGTTTAGAACAAAGATATATTAAGAAACATTAATAACCACATTCGCTCAACGTTTCTGTAAATGCTAAATACTGTAGTTTTATAATCACACTCTAACCCCAAAATGAAAAGTTTAACCGACTTCTAAATTAAGTAATTAAAGAATATAAGAAATTGAGTACAACTGAAGATGTAAAATATTTAATCCGACAATGTTTGAATTAGCTGCCCAGCAATATATCCGTCAACTTATGTGTGTATAAATATTTTCAAGCTATTCCCTACTAGTGAAATATGTGTGGTGAGCTAGATGTGCAATAATGAAATGTGCAATACCTATATGTAAGAGATTGCAGTTTGCATCGTTGTTAAATATTAAAATAAACCTGAAGCTACCTATATGTTAAAATGCTAGTAACATGTGGGTGTATCTGATTATTTATGTAAAACCATGTCAACTGTGTTCAAAAATGTATTTTCTGCTATACTTGATTTGACTTGAGGACTGTATGTAATATTGTACAACCTTGTACATAAAGGAAATACCACTGAGTTACATGTATCTAAATAAAGTTTTAATTAGTTAGGCAATCTAGGAAAGTTTTTTGCTTTTAACAATAGTACCAAAGTCTTTAGTATAGGGTATATTTGGAAATCTGGTTCTCACAGGGAGAACAAGAACTATCTGCTACTGAAATAAAGAAGTAAGATACAAAATTTATCTGTTTTACAAGTTTGCTTCACTATAACACATAACTTAACATTTTCGCACTGTACCTTTAAGCTTATTTATGAAAAATAAAAAGAACGTTTTTGTACCATACTTATGATTACCATGAACATTGACAATATACTGAGTGAACAATCTGTAGTCAATGTTTAATGTCTGGCAATGAAAGAATGTGCTGTTGACACTGACATGTACAGGGTGGGGCATCATAACTCCCTTTTTTTAAATGTGCGCCATTCTGTTTGTTCATGTCATAGCCAAGAGCTAGCAGTCTCTTTGGGGGGTGAGGCTATAAAGTTTTGTCCTTGCATAGTTTAGTCGCCATTATGTTTTGGAACAGTGAGGAGCGTGCGTTTGCTGTTGATGCCTACTTTTCGAGTGGATGTTCAGTGATCGCAGCCCAGTGCGCCTTTTGGAATCGGTTTAATTTAGCCCCGTTGGCCCCTGTTCCGAACCGGAAATCAATTGATATGTGGTTTAAGACGTTTAGACATACTGAAAGTGCAACAAAACGAAAAACTTGAGTCTCATGGCCCATTAGATCACCTGAGAACATTGAGGCAGAGAGCTTCAACATTGAGAGCTTCAATGTTGCGATCCAGGGGTGATTTGCAATGGCCTGATAAATCTTCTGATTTGTCCCCTTGCGATTTTTTCAATGGGTTTTTGAATTTCCGCGTTTATGTGGGCCGTCCAAGGACCCTTCAAGATAAAAAAAACAAGATCCAGGGAGAAATTTCCAACATAACGCCTGCTATGCTTGAAAGCGTAATGACACACACCAGAAATCGGTATACTCAATGTATCTAGAATGGGGGACGTCACCTGCATGATTTAATCTCCAAAACTACGTAAAACAAAACTTAAGGAATGTACTTACATTATAAAAACCAAATAAAGTTTGTCTGATTCATACAATGCGTTTTATTAAACTTTGAAAAAAGGAAGTTATGCTGCCCCACCCTGTATAACCATTCCTGCAATTCTTTTACACATGGACATGGTCTCTTTCACACATGGAATGCTGCTAAAATAAGTAAGAGCAAGTATTGAATGAATCTTGTCAGAAGTTCAAGTTCATTGGTCATCAGCTGAAAGCTAAATAGTTGCATGGGAAACCCCTCCGACATCAGTAAGTTGTCAATGATCAAATAAGTCCATTTGGCAGTGTCATCTCCTTAAACAAATGTATGAACCAGTAATTTAAACCCTATTGCTCTGATACCTTTTTGAACCATAGGTTGCAATGCAAAAGTATATTTTGCGCTTGTACTTGAAAAAATGATTTAGAGATTTAAGTATAATCTATGAACACTTGAAATGTTTTCATCTAGGTAGATATAGTATGGAACAATTGGCAATGCAACTGAACCAATGACTTGTTAATTACAGTTCTGCAATAATACAAATATTAGCTCAAAAAATATTATTGATGCTTGTAAACAATAAATTAGTTGCATTGTTAAATTGTTTTCCTTCTTGGCACATATCATTAATTGCTAGTATTGTTGAATTTGTTGTAATCTATTTGAGAAATTCATCAAATGTTTTGTTAAGTTTGAACTAATAATTTTATTATAAATTTAATTACATGAGTAGGCTAACTATACTTTAACAAATTGTAGGTGTTGTAATTTGATTTAAAAATAAAAATATAATAAACATAGATTTGTTGTTTTGTTTGAAACTGCTTACATTATTTTCCTTCACTAAATATTGTGTTATTGGTCTAGCCTGTTTGTTCTGAGCTTTTAAAATGGGTTTAACCGGTGAAATGTTTTATTTTATATGTTAAGTGGTAAAACAACTTTTTTCTACTGGAATGTGAAGTGAAAAATATTAGTTTACTTTAAAATATTAAATTATTATTATGGGTGGAAATTAAGTGGTGGGTGGTTTCGGGGTAATTATACTACCCTTAGTGTGTCTCTTAGAAGTATAAAATAAGCTTTAGTACAATTTGGAAAGTGTTGTGGCCGGGAGAAAACTAAGGCCCATCGCACATTGGAGCGAGGCGCGGCCGGTTCTGTAATACACAATTGAAATGGAGCACTGCACATTGAGCGGAGGCTACGTCTCTGTCAGGCCTCCGCAGCGTTGTAGTTGGAATATAGTTTTCCTACACATCGCTCGCGCCTTCGTTGGTTTTCTAGTGTTTTGTGAGTAAAATATATAATAATAATGGAACATTTAATTCAGATGGCTATATGTTGTTGAGCATTGCATTCCTTTCCATTAATGCCACTTTCAATCAAATTATCGATATCATCAAACTGTTTTAGCGAATTTACCTATAGGGAAGTAAGCTATTACCGTAGGTGGCATGGTAAGACCTAGACCCGGGACCGATTTACTTTTTCATTTTGATGTCCCCAGAGGCCAAAAACACCATTCGTTAAAATTTATATATATATAGATTTATATATATATATGTGTCAGTGAACGCGATAACTTGGGTAATTTTTGTCCGATTTTGATGAAATTTGGTTTAAAGGTGTAAAGCAGGATAAACTTGAATGAGTTCGCGAACCAGCATGATCGGACTATGGGAACGGGGGTTTACGTGGGGTTTTATGGGGTAAAAATAGGTTTTTCCCATTTTTGACCCTAAAAACACAAAATTTCACAATTACTTTCCAAACCATTAGGTAGAGCTTAAAGAAACAAATAATTTAGTATATTGAAGCGTTATTATGCGCCAAAGGGTTACGGAGAAAATTAAAAAAAAATTGTAATTTTAAAATGCCCATGTTATTCTTATGGAGAATAAGTCAACTGTTGTAGTTTGCTTATTTATTAACATACTAGCTGTGTGCCCGTTCTATGCACAGGGATCTTATAGTAGTCAGTTGAAACCTTCTTATATTAAGAACAGCAGTTGGTTTGCATATTTTCAGATATGTTGGCAAAACTATTATATATTATATATACACCTTCGCAAATACAGTATCTAGTTGAAACCTTCTTATATTAAGAACAGCAGTTGGTTTGCATATTTTCAGATATGCTGGCAAAACTATTATATATACACCTTCGCAAATACAGTATCTGACAGTTTCAAGCCAAAACAAACGCTTCGCAATTAAATGTCATGTCACCCCATATAGTCCAGTCAAATGGTAGTTGAACGTTACAAAAAATAACTGTTACGAGTTTTTTTCTTAACTTTATGTATTTTGGGGCGCTGAATCCGAATCTGAAGAGATCCAACAAAAATTCCTTGTGCGTTTTGAGCTAAATGCAAAAAATATGAAAAATTTCGCACTTTTTTCAGTTTCTTGCTTATAACTTGGAAACTATACATTCTACTAAATTTTACCAAATGTGAAAATGAAAGATCATGAAATTTCCTACAAAATACATATGTATCATTCTTTATCAAACGCACAATTAGCCCGCTAGAGCTCGCTCCAAAAAGAGAAAATATCACATTTTTGTAAAAACACGTTTATTGCCAGATTTTTACATTTATTAGTGAAAGTATGCGTTTATTGAAGGTGGACTATGTAAGTAAATTAAGTTTAAATACTTTACATGTAAGCCCCAATTAGTGTACAACTAAAACATATCGAAACTTATTTCCGAACAAATAGATGCAAAGACGATAATTGGGACCCGATCCAAAAAGACAAAAATTTTACATTAATGTTTTTAACAACTTTTTTGCCATATTTTCACATGTATTATTAAAAGTACATCGTTTCCAATCATCTTCCCTTCTGTAACTTATTTCACTATCTATTTAACTTAATTCTAGCTTCAAAAAAACTACTCTTAAATAATTACTTTCACCAAAAACACCTAAAATTTATCATGAACGAAAGGACAAATATTCTGTGAAACATAACTTGCCATAGTTAGACATTTATTTTTACAACTATACAGTAGCCTATGGTTGGTCAACCTGTAAGTTGAATAAGAAAGCATTATCGTACACAGTTTTAACATAAACAGCTAATTATAAAATATTCTCTTTTTATTTTTTTACAAACATTGACGTGATATAAAACGCCAATTTCACTTGTGAGACGCCTTTACAATCCGTCGTCCCGATTAACTATGGTATGGCACCTTTATATACAAAACAATAGAGCAATTCCTCATGAGAAGTACTAAAATTGAGGGTAGATTTGGAATGTACCTATAATATTTCTGATAGCATGTCCCTTAGATGATTACAAATGCACACATCCATAATTCACATTACCAAAGAGATGGAAAGGTTTTGTGGTGTTCACTTCGAAAACTCTGAGCAGCATGTAGACAGTGTAGACAGCAGAGAATACTGAGTTCAGAGGGACGACACAGAATCCATCAAAATCTTGAAATGAGAATTCTTTTGTTGAATGATATTTATAATACTTAAATGTTCATTAATATGTGTCTCACATCACGTAACATTCCTTTTACATTATGAAACAATTATCCCAAAATGCGTATACCATATTCTAGCTGTTACCCACGAGCTTCACCCCGTTTTACATCATAAGCATTAATAAAACTATTGATTGGTTACTTTAAGCTAAAATAAACAAAAGAGAATACAGTAATACAAACAAATAATCACACCTAATTTTAATAAGGTACAATTGAAGAATAACAAACAAATAAGTAATTTAGGGATCGAAGACAAGAAAGCTCTCGTCATATTGTTAAAGTAATTTCCTAATATCCCTCCCTTGCCCGTCAGGGCTTGGGGATGCTTAAAGTGTAACAATCAGTGTTTAAAACAAAACTCACACGGCAGGGACACCTCAAGCGTCCTCCGACAGTTTTTTTTTTTTTTTTTTTTTTTTATATTGAAATCGTTCATTTATACAGTGAGCTATTTTCTTATTTGTTATTTTTCTCGATTCAATTCAATAATTTTGTATTCCAAACTGTTAACATAATTTCTGTCTTTGTACTGTTTTGTTTTAAATATTAAATTCAGCATAACCAGTGAACAACCAAATCAGTGTCTTTAATTTCAATTGTCCACCGATAACTTTAAACTCATTAAAATAATTTCATTAATAGCTACCCAGCTATCAGCGCACCAACCACAAGGAAAAGCAAGATATTACTGAACCGTATTGTACAGAAGAACACCAACCGCATTTGAGGGACTCTAAGCAGCGGTCTTCCACTGCAGTGGAAAAAGTCACTGAAAAAAATATTGTCTTTGCTCTTATTTGTTCTGAAATAAATTAGATATTTTTTAATTGTACACTAATTGGGGCTTACATGTAAAGTATTTAAACTTAATTTACTTACATAGTCCACCTTCAATAAACGCGTACTTTCAGTAATAAATGTGAAAATCTGGCAATAAACGTGTTTTTTACAAAAATGAGATATTTTTCTCTTTTTGGAGCGCACTCTAGCGAGCTAATTATGCGTTTGATAAAGAATGATACATATGTATTTTGTAGGAAATTTCATGATCTTTCATTTTCACATTTGGTAAAATTTAGTAGAATGTATAGTTTCCAAGTTATAAGCAAAAAACTGAAAAAACAGCGAAAATTTTCATATTTTTTGCGTCTAGCTCAAAACGCACAAGGAATTTTTGTTGGATCTGTTCAGATTCGGATTCAGCGCCCCAAAAAACATAAAGTTAAGGAAAAAACTCGTAACAGTTATTTTTTGTAACGTAAGGTAGATTTCCACGACGAATTGACTGGACTAATATGTTAGTCCATATGTTAAATCCAATGATTAAACTAAAAAAGCTTTATAGGCCTACTATGAGAAATAGATCTATGAGTCATAGCCCTAAGGTAGGCCTATAGTTGAAAGTTACTTTCCACAATGGTTAAAAGTATTTAAAGTACTACCTCAACCTCACCATTTAACACTTTATTCGGGTTGACATTTTCATTATCAAAGGTGCTCTAATTGTCCTTTTCGTGACACTAAGAAATAAGGACATTAATGCGTTACAAATAGACATACACACAAAAATACAGAACTTTATTAGGGAATTTGTTACGTTTTAAGCATAACAAAGTACATATAAAATTAATATTTGAAATCTTTGTCAATGTCATCAAATTTTATCATAACAATTTATATTTGCTTGGACCGAAGATGACGCGAAATGCTGTCGAAATGACTGCTTACTATGAAATGAAGTACTATAGACGATTTAGATTGGTAATTTATAATACAAATTACCAAAATAGGCCACAAACTATTAAAACATAAACAACGTAAATCGTAAACAATTCACAATGGTTTGCTAAACAAATGTTTTACTTAAATGAGTTATCATTTTCTTAGCATAAACTAACATTTTGAAATCCAGACAGAAAAAGCAAAACTTATACAGTTAAGACATCAATTAAACTGAATAGGACTGTATAAATAAGGTGCAATACCAACGATAACTAATTTGTAAATTACAGTGATGTGTTGGTAAGTAAAAATTATTCTTGCTGCTACCAATGGTTCTAAGGAAAAGAACCAGTACCAAAAACCAACGTTTACAGTTCGCAACTAAAGTCATTCGTCCAATTACATGCGTTAATCAAGTCCCAAGGTTATTGATTTCTTGATTTTGAATTTTCTCGTAAAAAGTTATCGGCAATCAAAGTTATTTCCCATTAATTGCTTTATTCGTAAACAACTTTTAATTTAGGCCTAAACTTATTGGTGTCAGTTTGAAAAAAAAAAACAACCTTATACAAACAACTTTTTGTTATTTAATAGATTACGTATTCTCTAAACAATGATTGGTATATCTATTAACATTAGAAAGAAATGTGACAAAAATCACTCAATGCTGGGTTTTTGGATGTTTGTAATTTTATTTCTTAAGTAGGGAGGCCGTGTATTCTAGGGAAAAGTACCGGTATCAAGGATCGTCGTCAAAAAGGTTGTTATGAATAATTGGGTAGGCGTAAGTACCCAAGAGATGGGCTATGGGCCTATTGGCTGTATGGTCAGCGATTGCATCACACGGTGAGTAGGAACAGAAAGTGACACATTGGAAAAGCGAGTTTAGCATCATCCATAAACCGTAATCCTCTGTTAATCACCCACTGCAGTTGTTTACTTTACGCTTTACACAACCGCCATTGAAGCGCCGTCAATGAGTGGAAACCTTGTTTGTAAGCTATTGGTGACGATCATTAATAAATTTAACTTTCCCAGCCCTATACAACACTGATTCAAGGTCTTCTTTCTGGTTATCTAACCTCAATAACAATTTTATACATAAAGAATATCTGGTTCCTGACCTGGATGACGCCTAGTTATTTAATTTCATTTACGGTTACACTATACAGGGTTATTACAAATGATGTTCACGATTTCATACATACATAAAATATAGTTTTATTTGTTATACAAAGAAATAAAATGGTTACAACTGTTGAAAAACTCAAAAAGTTTCGACACAGATACACAGAACTGTAAATGCTCGATACGGGAACCCCTTGTGGTACGACAGATGTCAATAATGTAGTCAAGCTCTTGCTAGACTTAGAAAAGTGTGTCTAGGTCTATTTAGCATTGGTAATCCGTTGCTGGATCTCAAGTATCCTATCTGATAATGGTGGTGTGTACGCCTTATCTTTGATGTATCCCCACAAGAAAAAAATACAGGGGGTGATGTCCGGAGATCTTGTAGGCCAGTTCAGGGGTGTGTCATTATTCGGACCACCGAGCTCATTCCATATCTCAGGCATCACATTGTTAAGTTCAGCCCTACTACAAGTAACATTCAAATGCAGCCATTTCTCTTAAATTTCAAGTGTCACTTGCCAATATAGTGGTTACTAGGAGGATCATCGTTAAACCTGGTTCTAAAGTGTCGTTGCACACTAATAACAGATTGGTTAATGTAATATTCCAACTGGTAAAAAGCTTTCCTGCCTTTAAATTCAGCCATTACACAACACTTACAACAATTGACTTGACAAACAGCTGATATGCACCCAAACCAATGTAAATGAAACTCTATGAGTTTTTCTTTCCAATGGTACCAACTAAAATAGTCTTGAAACAAATTAACCCATTAATATTTATAATCAAAATCAGGAACATCATTTGTAATAACCCTGTATTATTCCACTTGCGATTAATTAAATCCGTTACGTAAGAAAAACGTTTTTAATCTCACTTGGTTAGGATTTGCCTTCAAAATGTGATCGGAAATGGTTGTGGTATTTGTAAACAGCATTTGTAAACATATCAGTGACAGCTAGAAAAAATAATCTTGATCCGAACAGCTGTTCGTGATTAAAATTGGACGAAAACTTGACAAAAATCGCACAAAACTGTATTTTTGAACGTCCGTAATTTTATTTACAAAGTAGTGAGGCCATATTTTAATGGCTAAAGACACTCTCGCCAATCCAGTGACATTAAAATGACTTGGATCGTGATAGGTACTCTCGTTTTCCTGGAGAAGATTGCGTAAAATACCGTCTTGAGTGTTACAGACAGACAGAAATTTAGATGAGACTTGTTTCGGCTTCTTTAATGTATAAAATGTAAAAATAACCTAAAACTTTATGATTCTGAGCAATGTACAGACAAAACTCTAATTTTATTTATATAGATTTTGATCAAATTTGGAAAATACATTAATTTCTTACTAAACTACAGTACCTATTACCATTTTACATTAAAAAACACTTTTTTACCCTCCCTGTTACAGCAATAAAAAAAAAAGCGATAGAAAAACAATAAAAAAACTCAATAGGGCTTTACATTTGAAAATTTTGACTTACCTCCAAACTAACCCAAAAATGTATGAAAAATGTGTAAAAATTTACATACACTAAAAACTTTCTTTTTTGATCAGGCCACAGAAGTTGAATAAAATCAAGTAGCTAACAATTAATGTAAAGTTAATTTAATTTAAACAAGTTTAATTATGTAGTTTTATATAAAGTACGGTAAAATATAGAATTTAGTTCCATTTTATTTCCGATTGTAGCCTCGGTATTGAGTTGAATAACAACAATTGGTTTGAACACCTTCAGCGTAATCTAATGGTTGATTATTGCTGCAATAGTTTGACTTGTCTGGCAGTCATCTTAGGCGTTGAAGTATGTCGTATCAGAAGTACATAAACGGACACAAATAATAACCAACATTATAAGCACTGACAAGAAAACAGTAAAATGTAAAACAGTAAATCAAATTATTAAATGTCGGTAACAATGATATTGGGGTATGATGCGACAAAACTGGATTTGGATTGATGTAGAGTCAAGACTTTTCTATGTTTGTTTAGAAAATTACTCTCAAAATTTAGGAAATTGTTTAGGAAATTTCTCTAATTTGAAATCACGTAAATACTATTTAATGATTTTGTTTAGGGATTGGATTGGGCCAGATTACCACAGGTTACAGTTTACTAAGGTTCGAATAATCAAGCTTCTACATTATAAAATATTATACTAATACTGTATTACTCGTTTTAAATTTCTTGAATTGTCAAAAGACTTGACACTGTTAATCATTGCAAACCTGAATGATGGCACCGTCAGTTGACACCGGATTATAATCAAGTTGATTTGAGCTACAGTGTCACACTTTAGATAATGTTCCTTTGGTGTTGCATTACTGCAAACCAGTAGAAAGTAGAAAGGTATAAAATACACAACATGAATGCTGAGATATATTTTATTGAAACAATTTATAGGTAAAAGAAGTGTGAACACAGTTACGGACAATAATATAACAGATTTTCACTTTGTACTAACATCTAAAGGGGAAACTGTTACTATTTAGTCTTTAATGTTGTTATTTATTGTAGTTGGCTAACCAACAACTTAATATAAATTCAAAAAATTTGGTTGAAATTAAATGTATACATCTAAAAGTAATAAAATGATTATATTAATACAAAATAATCACACATTATTTGTACCTGTTTAAAGAGTAAACTAGTAAAGTAATACATTATTTTCTAATTGTAAAACTAAGACTTTTAAAGCACAAGAACAGTCAAAGATTACTGGTGAGTCAATTGTGCTACAAGTTATTGCTTAACTTTGAAAACACACTTTTTGGAGCTTTCAAATATTATCATTCTCCAAACCTGCAATAATTGCCTTCAGTAAATTAAGGCAAACTTATTGAAAAGTATACAAGAATATCTTAGGTTTGGATTAAATAAATTTTGTTTTAGATTGTAATGAAACTCGTCAATAAATGCAAAATGGAATGATCAAGTTAAGTATGAAATGAGTTGTTACAAATGCAATGAAGAATACTAGTACACTAACCTCTTTTTTAAGGAAATAAAGAACCACAGTTCACTAAACACAAATATTTACTATGTTCAAGGAGAGATCGTATCAAAATAAATTACAAGGAAAATGTGAGATCCTTGAGGTAAAATATGAATACTAAATATGTACAATGTTCAATGAAATTCAACTGAATATAATTTATCCATTGAATACTTATGCAGTTTAAATATTTACTTTATATCTTAAATTATTTCATAGTTTAAATTTTTAAATTTTAAACAAGTGAAGAAATGTAGGTTACATAATGAAGTAACATATGGTTACTTTAATCTCTGCTAAAGTAGTTAAAACCTTGAGACTTAATATACTACAAGAAATTACTTACCGACTTACAACAAAATCATGTAAATTATAAACCATTTACAATATGAACATAAATTTAAGAAGCCTCTGTTAAATCGCATTAACTTGATACACACATCAGGTTTCAGCAATAAACAAATTAAAATCACAAGTTAAAACAGCATAGCATTACAGAACGATTGTTTCCAATTAAAATACAAAGCATCTTGAACACAATGTTAGGTATTAGTATTCAATGCTACTAAGAAGAACACTGGGTGATATGTTAAGGCAAGTACTTTTGACAACAAGAAGCATCACAAACAATGTTTGTATATAATTTAAAAACACAGAAAGATTGAATATAAAATTAAAAATGCCTCTAGAGTTTTAGGATATTAAACATTATTTTAAAGTGTTCTGCAAAAAAAAAAAAAATTAAAACCAGTAAAATTTACAAGGTAATATTTTAAATATGACCAAACACTACCTCTGTGTTTGCTAACTCTAAATTGAAACAGTATAGCCTATCTAAATTATCCTACAAAGCCATGTATAGATAACTATGTGATTTTAATTTTTTAATGCCAAACCTGATATGGTCTACTGCACGAGGATGGGTAGGGTAGGCAGCCTGAACACTGAGTCATCTAGACAGAACTGATCCTGTTCCATGGGCTTCTTGAGCCAGCTGCCCAAGTTAGCTTTAGAGAATCCCACCATCAGCTGTTGTTTGGCCAGCTGCAATACACACAATATTTTATCAGTAAGATAGCCAGTAAAAACCTGGAAAAACCTGTATAGGTTTGAATTTTCTTCAAAATTATATAAACTAAGTTAATGAACAACCCTAAAAAAAATCCATGAATTTGAAGCTTAACAGGCGATACACCTGGCCCAAATACCATTTGTTTGTTTATATGGCAAGGTCATGTTTCAGTGCTTGTCTTTTGATGCAAATAACTTGTATAGCAAGGCCATGTCTCGGTGATTGTATCTTGATGCAAAGAATTTATATGGCTAGGTCATGTCTCAGTGTTTGTCTCTTAATGCAAATAACTTATATGGCAAGGCCATGACTCGGTGTTTGTATCTTGATGGCAAGGCCATGTCTCGGTGTTTGTATCTTGATGCATAAAATTTATATGGCAAGGCCATGTCTCAGTGTTTGTCTTTTGATGCAAACAACTTATATGGCAAGGCCATGTCTCAGTGTTTGTCTTTTGATGCAAATAACTTATATGGCAAGGCCATGTCTCAGTGTTTGCCTCTTGATGCAAATAACTTTTATGGCATGGCCATGTCTGAGTGTTTGTCTTTTGATGCAAATAACTTATATGGCAAGGACATGACTCGGTGTTGGTATCTTGATGGCAAGGCCATGTCTCGGTGTTTGTTTCTTGATGCAAAGAATTTATATGGCAAGGCCATGTCTCAGTGTTTGTCTTTTGATGCAAACAACTTATATGGCCAGGCCATGTCTCAGTGTTTGTCTCTTGATGCAAAAAACTTATGTGGCAAGGCCATGTCTCAGTGTTTGCGTCTTGATGCAAATAAGTTTTAAGGCAAGGCCATGTCTGAGTGTTTGTCTTTTGATGCAAATAACTCATACGGCAAGGCCATGTTTTAGTGTTTGTCTCTTAATACAAATAACTTATATGGCACGGTCATGTCTCAGTGTTTGTCTTTTGATGCAAATAACTGATATGGCCAGGCCATGTCTCAGTGTTTGTCTCTTGATGGAAATAACTTATATAGCAAGGCCATGACTCAGTGTTTGCCTCTTGATGCAAATAAGTTTTATGGCAAGGCCATGTCTGAGTGTTTGTCTCTTGATACAAATAAGAATAAGAATAAGAATAAGAATATCTTTATTGTCGTTAAATACAAAAGTACAAATAACTTATATGGCAAGGCCATGACTCGGTTTTGTATCTTAATGCAAAGAATTTATATGGCACGGTCATGTCTCAGTGTTTGTCTTTTGATGCAAATAACTGATATGGCAAGGCCATGACTCAGTGTTTGCCTCTTGATGCAAATAAGTTTTATGGCAAGGCCATGTCTGAGTGTTTGTCTTTTGATGCAAATAACTATTATGGCAAGGATATGTCTCAGTGTTTGTCTCTTGATACAAATAACTTATATGGCAAGCCAATGACTCGGTTTTGTATCTTAATGCAAAGTATTTATATGGCAAGGTCATGTCTCAGTGTTTGTCATTTGATGCATACAACTTGTATGGCAAGGCCATGTCTCGGTGTTTGTATCTTGATGCAAAGAATTTATACGGCAAGGTCATGTCTCAGTGTCTGTCTCTTGATGCAAATTACTTATATGGCAAGGCCAGGTCTCGGTTTTGTATCTTGATGCAAATAACTTATATGGCAAGGCCATGACTCGGTTTTGTATCTTAATGCAAAGAATTAATATGGCAAGGCCATGTCTCAGTGTTTGCCTCTTGATGCAAATAACATATGGCAAGGCCATATCTCAGTATTTGCCTCTTGATGCAAATAACTTATATGGCAAGGCCATGTGTCAGTGTTTGTCTCTTGATGCGAATAACTTATATGGCAAGGCCATGTCTAAGTGTTTGTTCTTTGATGCAAATAACATATATGGCAAGGCCATGTCTCAGTGTTTGTCTTTTGATGCAAAGAATTTATATGGCAAGGCCATGTCTCAGTGTTTGTCTTTTGATGCAAATAACTTATATGGCAAGGCTATGTCTCGGTGTTTGTCTTTTGATGCAAATAACTGATATGGCAAGGCCATGTCTCAGTGTTTGTCTCTTGATGCAAATAACTTATATGGCAAGGGCATGTATCTTTCTGAACCACACCTCTAGTTTTTAGTTTTGTACCTGGATGATTAGGTAAAGGCCTATAATCTCGTCTCGAAAATATCCCGTTAGTATTTAAATCCCGCCCAATGATTCAAGATAAAAAAAAACTTGAAAAAATCTCGAAGTTTTGGGAACTGTCCATCAGTACAAAATACCCTGTGTCTGTGTACAAGAAGATTATCTGTGTACATACAGGGTGAATAACAAGTCAAGCCTGCCCCATCTAATATTTTTCTAAGTTAGAACACAGTATACTTCTTGTACACAGACACAGGGTATTTTACCTGTAGAACTTCACATACCCGGCTATCAGTACTGAGGACCTGGAATGAATTTAAGGAAGAGATTAACAAGAGGTGATCCAGGCATAAATAAATTGGATGCTGCATACCACTATATAGCATACTCAAGATCAAACTATAGTAAATATACACAGATACCCTTTTGGTGGTCGTGCAAACTTAGCACAAAGTTTCATTTTATGATTTTGAAAAGTTTTAGTGTCCCCTAAAAATGAGGGATTATGGGCACAACTGGAGATTACTCTATATATAAGGTATATTAACCTTTAAATATTACCAATTTAATTTTAAACAGTATGATTTAAATTGGCATTCTGGTAATAACGTTTTTTTTTATCAACCCGCCCTTATGACAGTGTGTGTCTGGATCCGGATCCGGTACCGACATTTTCTTGGATCCGCCTATCACTAGTAGTAACTAGACCAAAGTTTCGACTATTCCCTTACAGCCAACCTGAAAATCGGTGTTAAAAGGCACTAAACAGCGTAACATTTCATTTTGTGTTTTGCCTTTTGTATTACTTCACAAATACTATACAAGAGGTTAAATTACCTTATTTTCATCCAAGTAATCATGTAGTTCTCTATAAGGCGCATGCTACATGTTTTGTAAGACTTATGATTACCTCCTTCGGGTGATACGATTTTACGTCCAGCTTGACAATGATGCCATAGACGTCTACAGGATTACATGGATGAAAATAAGGTAACTAAACCCCTTGTATATTATTAGCGTCTTATCTTATCTCGTCTAAAAGGGGCAGGCCCAGACCATAAAGCACTTCATCCGAAAAGTCTAATTATTGCACATCCCAGACAGTCATTTCATTGATAGACCTTACAAATTCAGGCATCCGAGGAAACCCTGTAGTCTTCCAATTAGATCCTCCTCGGGAAGGTATCTACCTCTTACCAAATGCCAAGAGTTATCCTTCTAGCGTCAGAGAGCTTATCACAATAATAGCGCAGGTGATTGGCTGTCCCCTCTGACCTACCGCAGTGCATACAGATCGGTTCACCATCAAATAAGCCCATCCGTTGTAAATGTTTCCTGAATTGCCAGTGGCCAGTTATCAGTTGCACCGTTAATTTAATTAAATTCTTCGCCTGTCTAGTCTCAAGAGGTCAGAGATCAGATCAGAGGCAACCAGTTTCGAAGGCCTAAACAGAGTAAGCTTGCTAACCCTAAGAAGGAGAGTATCAAACCAGCGTTTTCGGTACTTTTCATTGGCCCATGACACAATAAAGGAGGATATTATTAGCGTAAGATTTACTTAAATCCATATTATTGATGGGTGTCTGAAGAGGTGAGGGTGATTTGTAATTATTACTGTAATTTGATGTAAATCAAACATGGAGAGTACTTAAAAGACAGCAATTAGTGTAAGAGTAACTTCAGAGAAAAATATGAACAATCGTTGACAACGACAACAGAGCTATCTCTAAAAACAGGTCTTTGTTAATGGGTACATTCTCTTTTTCTTGCTGTTCAGAGAACTTTTTAAAACCACTACAGTAAAACCACACCAACTCGACACCCGGTATATCAACAGTCTGTGTATCTCGACACTCAACAGCTGACAGGGCGCACGTCTAGCTGGCTTTGTCTTACTAGTGCGTTTGACTTTTCAATATGTAAAGATACTCATGAAAGTAGTAAATTTATATGTAAAAATTAGTTTGTCTTGTATTCATTTATTAAAACCATTTAAAAATTACAATTGTTCTGGATAACTTGACAACCTCTGTCTGGGTCCAGAAATTGTTGAGTTGATGAGGTTTTACTGTATACAGAATATAATGTAAAAATCCATTGGCAACATCCATGGTATTATCTCGTGATCACGGCTAAATTTGTGATGATTTAGCATGGTTTTAGCTGACAGCAAAGTCCAAATGGTAGCAGCAAAGTCTGTGATGGTTTACCAAGATTACAACAACATACATGAATACCCAGCGATCATGTCAACACCTATGATCATCTTTTGTGGTAACAGCAATAACTGTAATGATTATCCTGCATTTGAGGTGACATTCGTGATAGTATCTTGTGGTCGCGGCAACATGTGTAATGATTTACCATGGCAACAATAACTATATATCCAGTGATTACCTCTGCACCTGGTATCATTTTCCGTAATTAGAGCAATAACCTGAGATGTAATCAAGGCAACTTCTTGAATATTTAAGGCATTCAAGGCAAAAATGTTGACAATTTCTTACAAATGCTGTGACATTTACATTCAGGGCAACATCGTGATCACGGGAAGTGATCACGATTTTTTCCTTGAGATAACAAGGCAAAATGGCAATTATTGGTAATTTTATGGCAATTTAAAATCTGAAATTTCCTGATTTCATACAAAATTTACTTAAAATAGAATGTTTTTTTTAGGTAATCAATATTAATGTATAATTCCCAGTTTTTCAGGTTGCCAGGTTGGCTAGACACCCTGTAATCACAGGGGACAGTTGAAAGCTATGATAGTTTACCTGGTAGTCCTCAGATTTAGCCTTAAGTACACTGTAGAGCTCAGTTCTCACATCACAGCCTAGGTTTGTAGCTTCAGGGAGTTTGTTGTAAACATTGCAAAAATGCCGCAACATACTTTGTTTACAGAGGCGAGAAGCAGCTCCAAGTTCAGCTTTGCCTGTCATCGCATTGATGATTTCCACTCTCTCCTCTCCTGTAGAAAACAGAATTCCCAGCCAGTGTTACTATTGTAGGTAATTCTTACCTTCTCAATGCAAAATGAAATTTTCTTTTTCCAAAATGTAGGAATTAACGCCCAGATTCTAAAAATGAGAGTTTTATTTAGAGGAAAACCCCAGCAAAGCAGAAAAACAACATTTTTGCAGAAATAGGTAATGTGGGTACTCAAACTAACCGGTAAAGCGAGTTGAACAAGATTATGCAAGATGTTTCAGGATCAGATGGATATTAAAGGAGCTCGGCCGGAAAAGCGTCGGAAAACGGAAAAATAACTAAGCTAAGACTGGAAATGTTGGTTAGGTTAGGTTGGGTTAGTTTGGGTAAGATTAGGTTGGGTTAGGTTAGGTTATCAATACATCGGTATTGTTAGAAACCTAACCTAACCCAACGTAACCTAACCAATGCTTTGACGGTCGTAACTTAGTTATTTTTCCGTTTTCCGGTGCTTTTCCAGCCCTATCTCCGTTAATATCAATCAGATCCGCCCCAGGCCCCACACCACCATAGGCCCCCAAATCAGGGCCCTATTTCCTTTACGGCGATCGCCGAGGGCCTCAGTCTAGGAATGGGCCTCACACGGGTCTAAACAAATATTTTTTCTCTTGGAAAATAATTTTTGCAGTTTAGAATATTTTATAATAATCCGTTAGAATTTAAACTTTCCAAAATTGAACTTATATTTTCACGATCGCTGGAAGCGTCTGCAAAGATTGCACAATCAAAAATCTTGACTCCCAGCGATAGCGGGTGACGATAATTATGTCTCGCAACCGCGAAAGATGGTTACGATTGCTCTGAGACCACAGAGACGTTCATGATTTTGCTGTGACATTGGGAGACGAAGGTCCTCAAAGGTCCTCACAGATGATGTCCTCAAAAATGCTTTTTTTCTGAAGTGGTTCAGGATTTTGCCACGATCGTAATAGACGGTGTTCTTTCACAGTGGACGTAAAATACATTTACGATTCCTTTATGATCGCACAGAAGATGCCCACGATTTTACCTTCACCACGACTGCAGGGGACTCAAATACGATTTGTCGTGACCAAGGCTGATATTGCTAATTTTCTATTCAGTTTCATGTTCACGATTTTGTCACGATTGCGAGATGTTAACAATTTTATCTTAAAGGCAGGAGGTGTAGAATATATCCCCGCGACCGTGAAAGATGTTCACTATTCCACTGTGAACATAGGAAATGTTTACGATTGCTCCGTGATGTCGGAAGATAACCCGTGCGACCGCCGGAGACGATGATTACGACCCCGCAAACACGGAAGACGCTTACGATATCGTCGTTACTGAGGACGATATGGATCATTTATGCCGCGATCACAGAAGTCGTTTGGACCAATTATAGTACAAAATATAATGTATAATACAAAGATAATATAAAAACCTTGATTTGTGTTACTTCTTTGAGTACTCGTGCTCATTACGAATCTCAAACTCATAAAAACATAAAATGTTAAAAGCTTGAAGGAAAATTAAATTTAGCATCTTTAAATTTTTCTCAAATAAAAAAAAATTGATAACATAACATTCAAAATAATTTAAATAGCCTACATGAACATATAAGCTAATTTAATCAGTGATACAAAATACATTAAAAGCATATATATTTTTTTAGTTCTGTTCCATATTTAGGGTTACTTTTTAAAATAATACCATGGTACCCTATAAGATGTGATGATAGTAAAAGATAATAGGTTAAATGGTTTCTCACCTATGACCCAATTGACAGAGTGGTTGGGAGCCTTGCCTGGCTGTCTACTCTCAGGAGAGCTGGTCACTCCCAGGCTGGGCTTGTTGAACCTGAATGGTGGAGGCAGACCTTGAACTGTGGTCTCAACTCTGCCACACACAGCCCTGCGTACACACATAAAACAAAACTATCAGAACTGTACACTCCCAGGCTGGGCTTGTTGAACCTGAATGGTGGAGGCAGACCTTGAACTGTGGTCTCAACTCTGCCACACACAGCCCTGCGTACACACATAAAACAAAACTATCAGAACTGTACACTCCCAGGCTGGGCTTGTTGAACCTGAATGGTGGAGGCAGACCTTGAACTGTGGTCTCAACTCTGCCACACACAGCCCTGCGTACACACATAAAACAAAACTATCAGAACTGTACACTCCCAGGCTGGGCTTGTTGAACCTGAATGGTGGAGGCAGACCTTGAACTGTGGTCTCAACTCTGCCACACACAGCCCTGCGTACACACATAAAACAAAACTATCAGAACTGTACACTCCCAGGCTGGGCTTGTTGAACCTGAATGGTGGAGGCAGACCTTGAACTGTGGTCTCAACTCTGCCACACACAGCCCTGCGTACACACATAAAACAAAACTATCAGAACTGTACACTCCCAGGCTGGGCTTGTTGAACCTGAATGGTGGAGGCAGACCTTGAACTGTGGTCTCAACTCTGCCACACACAGCCCTGCGTACACACATAAAACAAAACTATCAGAACTGTATATTCCCAGACTGCGCTTGTTGAACCTGAATGGTGGAGGCAGACCTTGAACTGTGGTCTCAACTCTGCCACACACAGCCCTGCGTACACACATAAAACAAAACTATCAGATCTGTACATTCCCCCAGACTGGGCTTGTTGAACCTGAATGGTGGAGTCAGACCTTGAACTGTGGTCTCAACTCTGCCACACACAGCCCTGCGTACACACATAAAACAAAACTATCAGAACTGTATATTCCCAGACTGCGCTTGTTGAACCTGAATGGTGGAGGCAGACCTTGAACTGTGGTCTCAACTCTGCCACACACAGCCCTGCGTACACACATAAAACAAAACTATCAGAACTGTATATTCCCAGACTGCGCTTGTTGAACCTGAATGGTGGAGGCAGACCTTGAACTGTGGTCTCAACTCTGCCACACACAGCCCTGCGTACACACATAAAACAAAACTATCAGAACTGTATATTCCCAGACTGCGCTTGTTCAACCTGGATGGTGGAGGCAGACCTCGAACTGTGGTCTCAACTCTGCCACACACAGCCCTGCGTACACACATAAAACAAAACTATCAGAACTGTATATTCCCAGACTGCGCTTGTTGAACCTGAATGGTGGGGGCAGACCTTGAACTGTGGTCTCAACTCTGCCACACACAGCCCTGCGTACACACATAAAACAAAACTATCAGAACTGTATATTCCCAGACTGCGCTTGTTGAACCTGAATGGTGGGGGCAGACCTTGAACTGTGGCAGGGCCGGATTTAGCATTTTGGCGCCCCTAGGCCCAAATAAGTTTTCCGCCCCCTGTTCTGGTCACAGTTTCTTTCCTACAAACCTTTATTAAAAACTATATCATGCCTAAAGGCCTATGGTAATTGCATGAACACCACTCCTCGTCGGAATTTTATCATTGCAAGTTTTTTTTAAGAATTATCTTGTTTAGCCTCAACAAAATGCCGTCTTAAACACTTTTGGCAATTTTATGCTTTTAGCAAATGCTCACGCTTGTGGGACTGAAACAAAACAATCCAACCCACAGAGCATTTCTGCAAAAAAAGCATGTCCACTAATTCCAATTTCAGGCCCCAAAACATGAACTCCATAACAGTACGTGATACCATAGATTAAACATAGGCCTTTAGTAGATTTGTCATCCTTAGGGATTAGCTGAAAACAATTCTTTTTATTTAAGTTATATGTTATTTAAACCTAGTTTGTCCAAAATAAAACGATCTAATCATAAACAATAGGTCGTCCCCTGGTTATATTACAAGAAACTAAAACCCTCACAACGACAACATAGAATAATAGAAACAAAATTACGTCAAAACTAACTTCCAGTGTGACCAACATATATATAAACTAGACATGAAAAACTATATTTAGGATTGACAATATGATAACAAGTCGACTTGAGTTTATGGTTAATCTATGGTGGTACTGCATTCTGATTATATTTGCAAAGCAATAGTCCAGCTAACCATAATTATCCTCAGGTCTGAGCTGAGGAGGAAATGACATCAAATGGTGCTTTGGAGGGGATTTAATTTTTCTAAAACCTGTTGCAAACTCAGATATTTTTTTCGTTATTGAATTTTAAAGATAAACTTATCGTATTTTTAATATTCAAAACGTATTATATATTTTAACTTTACCCTGCAGTGCAGGTTGCTGTAAACTGATCAAAAGATTAGTTAATACATTTTCTTTTTGTTAAGTAAGGGTGGTAACGGTGTCTAACACGCATACGCCCCTAATCACTCAGATCAGTGGTGCCGAGCCAGCATAGTGGCAGTGCAAAGAGTACAGTGGCAACTGGCAATACGATGCGGGATCGTACCGCTCGGGCGCTCGACAACATCCCTACAGCCTACTCCCGTATAACCAATGTTCGTTATCAATGTTGTAAAAAAATTGATGCATAATGTTGAAAAACTGTTTATATTTTCTAACGGTTATTTCTTTTAATTAATTTAAAAATTATAATGATTTATTGGCAAGAGTTTTTTTTATCAACTCACAAAATATGTTAAGCTATGGCTATTTATTTTACTTTTAGATATTTAAAAAATATTTTTCCTCTCGGTCGTGCGCCCTCTGGGAGCTTGCGCCCATAGGCCCGGGCCTACCGGGCCTATTGGGAAATCCGGCCCTGAACTGTGGTCTCAACTCTGCCACACACAGCCCTGCGTACATCACACATAACACATCACTATCAGATCTGGTCACTCCCAGACTGGGCTTGTTGAACCTGAATGGTGGAGGCAGACCTTGAACAAGCAAATTTTTTTCGGGGCAACACCTGCGATCAGCTCTAGTGATTATTTTCAACTCCTGTGATAATAATCAATCCCCGGAAGATTTGTAATAATTTCCCACGATCGCGGCAAACCCCGTGATATTTCTTGCGATTGGGGCAAAGTCTGTTATTTGCGATAGTTGACCGTGATCGTGATTTTCAACTACTGGTATGGAACACAAAAAATCGTAAGGCAGATTTTCCGGCTTTTATTTGAACATTTTAATTTTCCGGTTCCTTACAAAATACACGCACAATTCACAGATTTTTTCCCTGCAATCAAAATTTACGTACAATTCCCGGTTTTCAGATCAGCTGGACATCCTGGAAAGTCAACTTTGTATACTTGTGAGTATGAAATGAGATATTTTCAGTTAATTTTCAATTATCAAATTACGAAGGTTGATGTGACATACCTGTACATATGACTTGAATTAAAGAGGGAGCCCAAGACTATGCTTTCCAGGTAGACAGGTTCAATGTAGAGTGAAAGCAGAGATCCTTGAACACCCACCACGTTCCAACGCGCAATCTTGTCTGAGCAGGACATAGTTAGCAGTCTCTGTCCCTAAAACAAACAAAAAACAGCAAGATGTACAAGGGTTGGCCATAAATCAAGGGTTTCAAAAAGCTCTAGTGGCAGCCAAGTGAGCTACAGTACAGTGGAACCTCAATAAATCTAACTGATTTCTGAATAATTCAAAATTCTTAATAAATCAAACTGTGTTTATTATCGGTATGGTAATTATAGAGTAAGATTATTGTCTTTTCATTTGCAAAGTTAACATCGACACATATCAATCATTAGTTAATCTTGGACTCAATTACATTTTCTTAGTATATTTTATAAAGATTTTTCAAAAAATCAAAATACCCAGGCCTATACCTAATTATTTAGGAAGGCCTATATAAACCGAGTAACAAAAAATGAGGTTATAATAGCAGCAAAATCACTATCATCGTTTCTTAAGGTAAGCCTGCTTATCCTATCCTTTCTCACACCTATTCTAGTTTATAAGATTTAGATTGCTTAAAGCATACAACAGAATAAATAGATATGGGAAACAAAAACATTGAAACCTGAACAGCCAACAAGACAAAAATAAAGAAAATTCAATGACGCGATTTTAGACCTAGTAGGCTTGCATAAAAAAAATTAATGCAAACAACAATGCTTGTGTCAATTAAAAGTAATATCAATAAAACAGGTTTTAACTTATAAAATAGGACTGTAGATCAGTTTACAAGTTTAATATGAAACCATAAACAGTTTTATGGCAGTAGGCAATGGAAAACAGCAAATTGAATGTTTAGGATCAAAGTATGAGTAAGAAGTGAAATTTAACAGCCATTATGATAAAACCATCATTTTTATGATAAAATTAGGGGTGTGCGAATATTTGAAAGTTCGAATAGTTGAACGAATACTTTAGTATTCGAGCCCGACTCGATCTGAATGTGTATATTCGAACATTCAAATAGTAAACAAACTTAGAAATAATCTCTAATTTCAACCAAATAAATCATGGTATTGTGTTGTTTTATTTCATCCCAACATTTCATGCTTCGTCGGCAACGTCAGCATATTATGACATCTTCCTTTACTCTACACATGAACACGACCATTTTCAAGGACGATAATTTTGTTGTGTGATTATTAAAATCACTCCGCTCAGCTGGCTAGCTTACAATGCTCCAATACGATAGGCTTACTGTAACCTACTGGCATGGAAACACAAGACTGTCAACCATTCCCATTAATTTGATTAATTAACAATAGCCTATATTTAGCAGCAATTAACCCTCCGAGTGTCACGCGTCATAAAAACGACGCACAACACACTTTGTGTAGGGTCACGCGTCGCTTTTAAGACGCACAAACATCGTTTACGGCGAAGGCTCTATGACTGACTGAATCGGATTGAACTGGATCGAGTTAGGTATCGTTCTTTCCGTAATATTCTAAGCTTTCTTAAGAGGTCTGTCTCTAAGCGCTAGTCATTTTAGTTCCGAAAATATTGTAGCAGACAGCTGACGTGCGTGTATTTGTAAACAGCTAGGTTCCCCCGGACCGATGACTGATGTGTTTTATTACGTTTATCATTGTTTTAGTGTTAAAAATCAAAAGTAGTGATATACGTGGTGCATTATAAGAAGATTTAAGTGGTTTTGAAGTGCTGGTTGATGATCCTGAAGAAGTAGGTAGTGATATTGATGTAAATTATCAGCCAGATTCCTAGCTATGGTTAGGCTATGCATTCTTAGCTAAACGCTATGTACTGAAATACGTTTTTCACTCATAACTTATTTATTTGATAACTTACCGCGCTATATGATTATATATTTGTAATCCTCATTAAATTTAGAACAAAGTGGCTATTTTCAAATATTTATAGGCCTATAATTTATACAATTTCATTGAGCGCGAACTTATTTTTTTTTTGAAAATTTTCGAAATTATATTTTTTTTTACCTAAAAATTTTTTTTTTTTTTAAATGTTCCTTATGTTTTATATATAATATTGAAGCCCATGATTTTCCAAACAAAATGGTATATAGAACATTAGAATTAACATTGTTTTAAGCTTCTCAGATCCGTTTTAATAAAACCTTGCAAAGGGGCCAAAAATAGGTGGACATTAAGGCCTAAACTATGGACACTCGGAGGGTTAAGTTTGTATGAGTTTACCAGACAGATATCTATTTGTATAAATTTTAAATATATTCTTTTAGCTTGGTTAATATTAGGATCTACATTTTGTAACGTGAACTTAAAGTACAGTAGAATGACGAAATAAGTTGTCTGAAAGTGTTGTCTGAGTAGCAACTAGTAAGCTATGAGGGTAGAACTACACTTCACAGTCTTTAGCATAGGTTAAACATACTCCTTAACAAGACAGCAAGACACGGACTCGTGAATTAATTTCTATGAAAATAATCAGCAACATTTTTTTCCATTTTTGAACAGAGAAATATCTTTTTTTAACTCTACTTTCTTGTTTTGCTACACAATTTTGTCTCTGCTTCTTTTCTGAAACAACACAACCAGATGCGTAATAAAGGCCAATGACCTAAATATCATGATTGTGCAATGTTGTATTTTGTTGTAAAAATGCAAATCATGGCATTAATTTGAATATATTTGTAGTTAATTCAAATTATATTTTTGAAGATTCAAAGTTTCTACACGGAAAAAGAGAATCTGAAGTCAAACCGGGCAAAGAATTCCCGAAAATACAACTATCAGGGTGTCTAGTTTATTTCCATTTTAAAATTCAAGACTAATTCCAGACTTTTCAAGACTAGTTCCAGATTTTTCAAGACTAGTTTTTTCCACAATTAGTGGGTGTTGATACCAAAATGTATCGATTCTCGATTCTTGATACTAATACCTGTTTTTATTGCTTTTTCTAACAAAATTTTCTAAATAAAACTACACCAACCCTTCTACACATCTTCTGCGTACCGTACGTTTAGACATCATCATTGACTGCAGCAGTTACAGAAACGTGATCGTCGTCGTCCGCGATCACGGCAAAATCATGAACATTTCCCGCGGCCGTGTAGACATCACCGTCGTCTTCCGCGGTCACGGAAACGTCATCGTCGTCGTCCGGGATCGCGGCAAAATCATGAAAATTTCCCGCGGCCGTTATTTCCCGAGGCCGTGAGAACAATCATCATTGGCTTTCGCGGTTACGTAAACGGAAGACGACGATCGCGGCAAAATCATAAAAATTCCCGACTTTGAAATCAAATTTAAGACTAAATCCCGACTTTTCAAGACCATTTTAAAATTCAATACTAATTCCCGACTTTCCCGATTTTCCCGACTACTAGACACCCTGGACAATGATTATATAGATTCAAGATATTACAATATTATAATGCTTAAATGTATGCTTATATTATGTATGTACCTGCAATACACCGTCCCAAGTCTGTATTCCGCCACTGGACTTGACCGGGATGGTGCCCTCGCCTGACTCTATCTTGGTGCGCAGTTGACCTCGAGAGTTGCGGTTGGGATGTTTGTCCAGTGCTTCAGTACCACTGCACTCTACCTCGTGAGGGGAGAATATTCTGTGGAACCACATACAGAGTCTCACTTGTGTAGTTGTACTTAATTAACTGGTACAGTTAGTTACAGTTAAATCTCATAGTTAGACATCTTTACAACCAATGGCTTGATTTTGGGAAGAACAGAAGGTGACACCATATAAGTTAAATCTCATAGTTAGACATCTTTACAACCAATGGCTTGATTTTGGGAAGAACAGAAGGTGACACCATATAACACTGTGCACTATAAAACAATACTATAAATGCTCAATACAACAGATTTTTCTCTTTATACTCACACTTTTTTTAACTGCTCAGTACTGTGTAATATGCATCAAATTTGTTTACTTATTGAGGTACATAAAGAAATTCAGAAGAAAGAGGTACACAGGCGTACTCAGTATGCTAAAGAATTTTACTATTATCTCCCTACTTTATGTACATGTCAAAATACTTAAACTAATACTCTTGTTGCATTATTAACTTTATCTTACTAATTTTGAAATTGGGAATTTAAAAAATTAATACTAGGTATGATTACTTAATTGTGTTTTAAATGCATTTGCTGTCAAAAACTACATTAAAAGTTTGTCAAATAATATCTGGGACTTGTAAGTTACAGGCAAAATCCCAGTTAAGTACAAAGGGTAAAAAAATGTACAAAGAGGTTTTTTTGTAGCTGTGATATTTTAAAATATGTATAATAGCTACTATATTATCATACTAATGTTATAAATTGAAAGTTTGTGTGTTTCTTTATTTGTTTGAAGTTCAATCACGTACTATAATGGTACTATCTACTGGATGGATTGGGCTGAAATTTGGCATGATGATAGCTCACATTCCCGATTAACATACTTAGGCATATTTTCATCTCAAAAATCCTTTCTGGCTCCGCCCCAGTGGCTCTGTAGTTTCCCATGTTAACCTTATGAGTATTCACATTTAACACTATTTGTGCTGTCGACATGTTTGAACATAAAAGTTGCATTTATTTCAATGTTAAGCAATTGCGGGAATTCCCGTCATCAGCACCCAACGTGTTAAGAGGAGTTAAAGAATTTAGTCAGATGTTTCAAATAAACAAGTTGGTTCTATGAAATGCAATAGCATTAAAAAGTTAAGGTTTACCAACAGAGTACAGCACTATTAGGGTGCAGTGTTGTATTAGAGTGCACTATTATTTTTTTGCATTTATTAGCTGCATTGTTAGCTAATTTGAACTAAGCAGCAACAAAAAGCTGTGATACACAATGAGAACTGTCTAAGTAGGATTGTTTACAGTTATGTTTTAAGTCTATGTGTTTACTTTAATGAATAGTTTGTGATATTGTGCGAATGTTTGATATATTTTTTTCTATTGGTTAGGTGCAGTGGCAGTGCCATTATGGCTATAATGGTAGATGTGTTAAAAAGCAATGTAACTATGATTCTACATTAAACTCATCAGTAAAAACTACTAAAAAGATGTTAAATTACAAATTATAAATAAATAAAAAACAATACTAAAAAATTACCATAGGCCTACTAATTATTTTTACATTTTAGCAAATTACCCATAGAGGGAATAAGCTATTACCATAGGTATCATAGGACCTATACCTGGGACCGATTTACTTTTATGTTTTGAGGTCCCCAGAGGTTCAAATATATTTACAAGTTCTTCTATACAAGTTCTATTCTAGCTTTTTTATTCAAGTTTATTCCAAGAAATCTAAATGGATAAATACTTCAAGCCTGAGCGTCTATCTTTGGACCCTAATGACCATCATTCTGATCGTCAGTGGAAACTGGAAACATTGGAAAACCACTTTCAAGAATTTAATGGAAGAAATATGAGCTGCAGAAGATGATCAACTAACTAATTTTTTTGACTACAATATACATGAAATAATCTCAGAGGCTGATTCTTATACCGAAGCTATATCTATTCTTGACAATCAATCACTTTATAAAGCCTATTAACAAGATGTATTAACGTCATCAACTGGCCACTAGAAGACAGGAATCTGGAGAAAATATTGATCAGTATCTTTGAAAATTCAAAGAACTTAGTAAAGCATGCAACTTTAAATCTGTCACTGCTAATGAAAATCATAATGAGTACATAAGAGACACTTTCATTTGAGGATTAATACAGGGTGGGGCAATGAAAGCACCCCAATTTATAAGCTGTACAAACTCAATAATATTCACCCTATAGATATAAATAGCACATCAAAACACAGCTTATCTTTTGCCATTTTAAGTTAACAAAGTCATTTTTCCATTTCTTGAGAACAAAATCCTGCAAGTGACGTCCTTGTCCTACTCGACATTCCTTTTAAGGCACAATTCCATCAAATACTTCTCCAGCATTTCTTCAGGTTCACTTTAGTTTTTGGACGATTCTTAGCTTCTTGAAAAACCTTCTTCTTGAAAAACCTCGAACTTCAAGTAGCTTACTAGAACAACCCCCCCCCTCCCAAAAAAGGAGCCAACGTAAAGCTTTCAACAACAAAAACTTCCTGGAAAATTCCGTTGGACTTTGAGTTACTGCGACTCGCACTCTTGTAACATTTGCTGGTATACAAAGAGTTTTGCGGCACCCACCGCTTATTATTTTAGGTTTAAGCGTTTATCCTAAATAATTTGACCCTGTTCACCATTGTTTTCCAATCGGGAACAGTGCCATGTTGACCAAGGATGGAATGTGGTCCAAACAATCTCTGGGTTTTTGCACAAGAATCACTATTTTTTAAATAGGTTTCCACATAAAAATCTCAGTGTTAATAGCCTCAGGCATAATATTTACTAAAATGGCATAGTTTAATAGATGTTATAAGCACAGCTGATCATTCGTTGTTGCAACAATTAACATGTGACAGCTAAAACAAATTGTGGCGTTCTCATTGCCTCACCCTGTATCACAGTCCATCCGACAAAGACTACTTGAAAAGCTAACTTTGACTCTTGAAGAAGCTTATAATCAAGCCATTACCTTGGAATCAGCAGAAAATCAGGCAGTTTCATATATTTCAAGCCCTTGTACAGTAGACCCTCTCTAATCCGGCACTGCACCACTCCGGCACTCCACTCAGTAATCCGGCGTCTTTTGACGGGAGGTCTTCCGCGATCGCGGCAAAATTCTGATTATCTCCCACGGCCGTGTAGACATCATAATTCTCTCACGTGGTACTGAAAACGTCATCACCGTCTTGCGCGATCGCGGCAAAATCATTAACATCTCCCGCGGTCACGGAAAAGTCATCGTCGTCATGCGCGATCGCGGCAAATTCATGAACAATTACTAGCAGGCGTATAGACGTTATCATCGCCTCCCGCGGTCACGGAAACGTCATCGTCGTCAAGCACGATCGCGGCAAAATCACGAACATCGCCAGCGGACGTATAGACGTTATCATCGCCTCCTGCGGTCACGGAAACGTCATCGTCGTCAAGCACAATGGCGGCAAAAACACGAACATCTCCCGCGGACGTATAGACGTTATCATCGCCTCCCGCGGTCACGGAAACATCATTTATTTATTTATTTATTTATTTATTAAACATCATCACATTACATTAATTCTCTTGACAGGTGAATTATTAAAACAGGTGTCACAAAGTCTAATACTAATACTATACTACATTTTAAAATAAAATAGCTTACAAAAGAAATAAAGCATATAATAAGCTACAAACCTATGGGAGAAGAAATATCTTTCAAATATACTCATTTTCCAGATATTCCTCTAACGAGTAAAATGCCCTCTCCAAAAGAAAATTTTTTAAAGATAGTTTAAATTTAGAGAATGAGGCAATGTTTTTAATCCCAGCGGGTAATTTGTTGTAAATTTTTGGTCCCATATACTGAGGGGATAAATGAAAGATTTTAAGCCTATGTTGAACTGGTTTTATAATATTTTTGAATCTTGTGTTATGTGGATGAGATTGTTGACAGTCCATGAATGTGTCGAAATCACTTTTAACCATTAACGCCAATTTGTAAATATAAGAGCTAACAAAAGTTAAAATTTTAAAATTAATAAATAAATCTTTACAATGTGTTCTACGGGAGACTCTGGCCATTAATCTTACAGCTCTTTTTTGGAGAATAAATATTTTTTTGGCCTGGCTTGATGAGCCTCATACAGTAATTCCATAATTCATAATCGATGAAAAATATGCGTGATATACATTTGTGTTTCTAGATTAGTAGTATCCCGAATTATTGTGAGAACAAATGTTGCTGAGCGTAGTCTTCTTGATAGGTTTTTAATGTGTTTTTGCCAATTTAGTTGTGAATCGATTTCTATTCCAAAATAATTTATTGACTGTTGTGAATGAATTGTAGTTAAGTTTGTATTTACAATTATTTCTTGGTTAATATTGGATGCAGAAAACTGAATTAGTTGAGTTTTTGCCACATTCATGGACAGGCCATTTACTGCAAACCAATCCCCAAGGAGTTGAAATTCCTTAGTTATTGAGGCTTGAATGAACTCATTGTTTTGTCCTGTGCAAATTAAAGCGGTATCATCTGCGTATTGAAAGGTGGACATCTTAGTAGCATTGCATAGATCATTAACATAAATAATAAATCATCGTCATCAAGCACGATCGCGGCAAAATCATGAACATCTCCCGCGGTCATGTATACATTATTGTTGCCTTCCACGGCCGCAGCAAAAATTTTATCATCTCCTGCGGCCGTGTAAACATCATTGTCTACTCCCGCGGTCACGGAAACGTCATCGTCGTTTTGCGCGGTCGCGAAAAATCATTAACATCTCCCGCGGTCATGTAGACATTAATCGTTGTCTTCCGCGGTCGCAGCAAAGATTTTATCATCTCCCGCGGCCATGTAAACATCATTGTCTACTCCCGCAGTCTCGGAAATGTCATCGTCGACTTGCACGATCGCGGCAAAATCATGAACATCTCCCGCGGTCACGAAAACGTTATCGTTGTCATGCGCGATGGCGGCAATTTTACGATTGTCTCCCACGGACGTTTAGACGTTATCATCGCCTCCCGCG